CCTCCTTTCCTTCACAAAAAGAGCTGGCGCGCTTTTGAAATCGGAGTTTTTTCACTTCGAAAGGAGGTATTTTGCTGCATTTTTGATACTTCCCAGATGCAAAATGGTACGTTTTTTTGCCACTGGATAAGGTCCCACTATATTAGAATGCGAATGGATGCAAGCGTCTGAATTTTATTACTTCCTGGATGCAGTTAAATGCCTTTATTGTTATACGATCCTGCGCGGGACCGCAAGAGGGATGACAAGATGACAAGGTCTATATATCCTTTAGGCGCACTAGTAGAGCAAAAAGCCATCCGTTTCCCTAGTCATCCTCTAGTGTCATGTTTTAACTTATCATTGCATCATTGCCGTAGCTTCTAAAAAAACGCAAACAGAAGATTTTGATGACATGGTTGAGCTTTTACCAACGTACGGGCTGAACGATAATTACACCTTTTGAAAAGCTTTACGATCTCTCTAAACTGGAAAAAAGATAAAATGGGGCCACAACAAACAAAAATTAAAGGCCATGATTGTGTTTTGTTATTTTTGGGTAAAACCTTTGAAGATTTTTGATTTTTTTTACAATTTTTGCTCTGCTATGACAAAAAACTCTGGGCTCCGACTTTTCGGATTAACAAAAAATCTTTCGATAAGAGGTTGTATCAGTTTGTCGGGAAAATAATGAGCACTCTGCCGCATCGCCGCCGAGAAAATGAATTGTGTCGCGACAAAATCAAATTGCTTTTCAATTCAGCGACACGATCGCGACATTGCCCTCATTATTTTCCCGGCAGACTGATACGACCACTTGTCACGGTTCGGCGGAGGCTCGGCGGAGACTCGCAATAAGACCGCTTTTTGGACTCCGTAGTTTTATCTGGATATTATTGGAGTAACACGTGTAAAATAACTCTAACTAGGTGGTACACTCTCCTAAGACCTGAACAATCTTATTATTTCTATATTAACGAAGTCTTTCTCCTAGCCTCTTTCATACCTACACCTACAAACCGAAGCGAATCAAGGTATGACCCAAAAAGTCGTAGCATCAAGAAATCTGGGTTCCCGAGCATTCACAGTATCAGTCTGTCGGGAAAATAACGAGCGTAATGTCTTTGCGTCGTTCGTGTCGCTGAACTGAAAAGCAATTTGATTGTCCTGCGACGCAATTGATTTTCTCGGCGGCGATGCGATCTTTGATGCGACAGAGTGCTCATTATTTTCCCGACGAACTGATATATGACAATATTACGGACATAAAAAATGCCGTTTGCAAAAATCGTATTGCATCATCTCCATACCCCTCTACTTGTTTGTTATTTTTGACCTTTTCTCCACCGCAATGGGTCATAAAATTAAGTGGGAATTACTACACGGTAAACTAATCAGCTTAACCCGTTGAAATATTAGCTCATGTCATAATTAAATAATATAAGATTGTCTCATAAAAAGTCGGTTTCCCTACAGAAACACATTATACGATACGTTGCATTTTTTGCGGCGCGTTTGCAGCACGAAAACGGGATTCGTGCCCTCAGGGCATTTGCGTTCGAGCGCCTCGAAATAACCAGAGTCTATTCGAGGAGTGTCGCGACAGTTTTTTGTCGTCGTATTGTGGGTGGTCTTGCACTTTCTGAACCGCCGTCCCACAATTTGACGTGGAGAATTTGGCGAAAACTTTGAAAACAATGACAATTTTGAATATTAATTCTAGCTACAAATAATCTTAAAAGTTCGTTTGAAAACAGACGAGAAATGCAGGGGGAAAGTTACATACATAATTTTTGAGGAAATTTTTAAAAATTACGCTAGGATTTTATGAGACTGTCGAGAAAATAATGAGCGCAATGTGCGAATCGTGTCGCTGTAGCAAATGGTTGTTCTAGGGACTATATGTCTGTCGGGAAAATAATGAGCACTCTGTCGCTAAGCCAAACGTGTCGCTGAAGTGAAAATAAATTTTCTTGTCGCGACACAATCCATTTTCTCGGCGTCGATGCGACGGAGGGCTTATTATTTTCCCGACAGACTGATATTCGTAGATTCAACGCGCCTTGAATCGCTTTGCGGCGGCCGGTACGCAAGGCGAGAAGAGTCTGTCATACCAAAAACCTACATACTTTGTTTGCGAAGGAGTGACTTTTGGTGTTTACTTACACTTGCAAAAATGTCGAGGTGCGAGCGGCAGCCCAAAAAAGCCTATTGCACGGAGCAAAAACCAAGAAATTGCAGAAAGCAAAGTGAACTTTTGTTTTCGCACAGTGAATGTCACCGAAACCACTCTAACAATTTTGCGTACGGGTAACTTTGTCTCGTATCTTTGTGAATGTCGCTGTCAGGGTTAAAGCAAATTATAATAACGTGATTTTCCGCACTTTCCGATGGACCTTCCAAGCAATTAAGATTGCAAAGGACAGTGCGGCCTAAGAATCCCCATAATTTTTGCCTGGCTCTGAGCTAAAAATCATGAATTTGTTAGAAGGTCGTGATCTATACATATTTTGCTAAAGTTTTATCAAAAGCGTGTTGTCGCACGTTGACTCGAGGAACCTCTGTGGTATCAATCTGTCGCGCAAATAATGAGCACTCTGTCGCAGCGAAAATCGCACCGCCGCCGAGAAAATGAATTGTGTCGCAGGAAAACCAAATTGCTTTCCACTTCAACGACACGATCGGCGCAGCGACGTTGTGCTCATTATTTCCCCGACAGACTACTATTTTTTTAAACTTAACTTATTTACACAGTAAACGACTATTTATTTTGAAATTAGTTTCAAAATTTTCATCATTGGTTTTCAAACACCATACGAAGAGCATCATAACCATCCCGTACCCTCTACCGTTTCGCAACAATTGACCATTGGCCTTGTCACGGAAACGTGTTTGTTTAATCTATGTTTCAAGTACGAACAATAAACAGTACAGCGGACTGTTTTTCGCGGAATTTTTTTTCAAGTTGTAATAAACTTTGCGGTAAAAAACATCCGTTCCTTTTTCGTAGTTTAGGTCTCACCGCGAACTTGGCATTCCTCCGAAATTCGTTGAAATTCAAAAAAGTGCAAGCGATAGACTGATTGCACGTTTCGATTGTACTTTTGTTGGGGAATTAACATTTCGTGAGGTGAGGTCTGGACTTTTTCTGGAAAGCTCTGGGTCGCGACACAAACTTTGGCATTCTGCCCAATCGACCAACTTGGGTGGTTTTATGTTGAAACTTAGTAAAGCCACGAAATCTCACGTTGTTCCTGCAGCATTGGATATGATTTTGGTGTACTAGGACTTAATCTTATTTCCAGGATGACTTTTGGGTCCCAGCACGAAAATTGGCATTCTGCCCAATTGACAAAATAGGATGATTTTATAGCACAGAATAGTTATTACGTTTCATTCCCGTTTGCAACCATTTTTACATTGATTTGACGCTTCTTTGAAAAATTTGGGTCCCGCAACGAAAATGTTAAATTTTTTGGTGAAATTGAAAGCTCGGAAAGTTTATGTTGTTACTGCGGTATAGTGTCTGTTTTTGCTGTTCCAGTAGCTAATTTTATATCCAGGATGACTTTCGGGTCCAGCACGAAAATTGGCATTCTGCCCAGATCCTTCAAACCGTTGGGAAATTGACAGTAATATAACATTTCATTGCAATAGGCTCCTCTAAGACTTTCAAAACCCTATTGGCACTACTTTCATTTCGACAACATTAACAAATTGGACTACAATAACCCAACTAAAATCTTTTTCTTGCTAATTACTGTAGCATTGTCACAGCCGCAAAATAAGGTTACTCAAGTTAATTAACACGTGCTTGGCGACAAACACACGGAAATCGCCGTTGTCAACTTCCGGCTCGCCCAATTCTCTGTAGGTAGTCGTCTTTTTATGGGCGTAGAAAGTGTAGGGCCTGTTTTTATGGGTCGCATTACACCGACCCCACAAGTCATGGCCCTGTTTTTGGGGGCTGGAGAAGTCGTTGCGTGCCTGACGGGTATATAAGCGACCATTCTTTGTTACGAGGCTGTTTTATGGCGGCGGTCAAGCGATCAGAGCGCATGGGTATGCCATTACGGTTGGATTCGGAGTAAGGGATGTTTGATTTGTATACCCAACTGTGTAGGTTGGGTATTGCATGTTGTTAGCATCTGCAGAAAAGGCGATTGCTAACAATTTGTAATTTCAGACTAACAGGGGAAGTGCACTTCAAGTGCGACGCTCAGATTTTGATGAAACTTGACATAACTTAAGGCTAACTTTTTCTATGACATATGCTAGTCTTCGAGCTCGCGCTTTGCAGAAGTAACCCTGATTTTAAGATTTTTTAATAACTTGAAGCATGGGCGAATCTAGGGTGGAGAAGTACCCCAGAACCCTAAACTTTTTTGTTGGATTTTTTATGCGAATATTGACATTAAAGTTTCATACATGTTTCTACCGTAGAGGGTAATGTTTCCATAAAAATAGCATTTTTTCAGCGCGAAACTGGCAAAGATAGGGCCAAAATATATTTTTCTTCAGATTCTTTCCATTGAAGTATCTGACATAGTCCGTTATAACCAGTTTTCATTATGCCGCAAGTTGTAGAAGGTCTGCTGTGACGAACTAAATCTTATTGTTCCGCGTTACATTTACATTTTGATACCGTGCGGCCGTTTTGAAAGGGCCGAGTGTAAACCGGACAAAAACGGGTTGTAACCCTTCTGACATTAACTTCATTGGACTTTTCAAAGAGTCTGATTCGCGTTTTTCTTGGAAGTCCAATGTGCCGATTTTCTTGAACCATTGTTTTTGGCCTACGTTTCAAATTTCGCGAACGCAATTTTAAAAAAATCCGTATTTACGTAACGTGTCAATAATATTGTTGTATATCAGGTAACAAAAAATTTTTTTAGCTATCAACAATAAAAAATCTCAATTTCAAGAAAGTGATTCTTGCCTCTGCTCCTCACCATATCACACTTTAATTTACCAACCTAACCATGGATTTGCTTTTCTTTCGACACGACCAATTCCTTCAAATGTACAACTGCACCTTCATCAAGATGAACGAGCTGATGCCGATTGAGGAACGACGGAATGTGGCGTACGGAATTGTCATTGGACTACTGGCTTTCATTTTTGTGGTGAGTTTTTAGTTGTTTTATCATCATAACAAGACGAAATTTGCATAAATCATCTTGATAGGCACTTTTCAAGGTTCTGGGTGCAATTTCTTACTGAGGGGAACACTTGACTCAAAATGGGTCAAGTCTTCCTCTGAAGATAAAATAGCTGAAAACAGCTTTTCAGATTGTCAAATACGTTTTTTTAAAATTGAAACGTGATAAAAGTAGAACATTCCGCGGAGAGGAACACTTGACCCACATTGGGTCAAGTGTTTCTTTTTGAAGCGAATCGTCAAAAAATCTTGCTACACCAGAACTAAGATGTTTTTTAAGTTTCTGCATCAATACATTTTATGTAGTGTAAGTACATATCAGTACAACAACCTTTTCTCTACCCTTTTCATACGTATAAGTGCACCTCATTCGATTTTCGCTCCCATTTCAACGAAACGACGCTCACTAGACGTGTCTCACGGGTTTCGGCACGACATTTCCTTGTGTAATGTTAGAATGATTTTACCAATTGCCCAACTTTTATATAGCCCTTCCGTGACCGACCTCCATGCCCGCGGGCGAGCGGCAAAAAACAAAGTCTAAAAGAGTTTTAACAAAATTTTTAATTAAACTTGAGCACGTTTTCGGCTATTTTGATTGTAAAATATTGTTTTACAAATCCTAAGTTAGGCGGAACTTCGGACCTCCCATGGAGAACATGGAAAGTGATTTCTGATATAAAAATATTAGTAGATTAGCAAATGTTGTCAGCATAAAATTCGGCAACTCTCCAAACACATATTTTCGTCATAAAAATCCATTTATGACGTCATTTCCGGGTTTTAGGAAGGAGAGGAACACTTGACTCGTTGAGACAAGTGTTTCTCGACCGAGCAAAACAAATGAAAATTGATTAAAAACACGATTTGCGACACTAGCGGATCAGAGAAACACCTAACAAGAAACGAGTCATGTCTTCCCCGAATGAGACATGTCTTACTCTTGCAAAAAAACTCCCATCAAAAGAAGCCACCACTCATTTATTACCTTTTCAGTGGCTCTACCTATTCTGTCTCTACGCTCTGACTCGAAGAGAAGTCCGTGACAAAAGTTGCTATAAGATTATGATCATGTTAGCCATATACGACTTGATTACATTGCCAACAACGGGGCTGGTCGCTGCATATCAATCAATTTCTGGAGTGACGTTTTGTGATGCTCCGATTACCTTCTACGTGATTGGAATGTTTACATTAGGTAGGTAAAATATGACGAAAAAATGAAATTTTTGGGTCCCACCACGAAAACCTGAAAATTCGTGAAGCAGCGGAAAATCAACTTCTTATTTAATTTTCTGCAACTCCTGTCAAATCTCACTAAAATTTTTGTACCTAATTCATCGTATTTTAGGCGCTTGGATGGGCTACACATACGCTACGGTGATCTTGGCGCTAAACCGAGTTTTCTTCACCTCCCGAATCCGAGAATACTTTGACGGCACGTACATATACGGCTGGCTATGTGTGCCGTTGTTCTTCTCATTATACGCCATGTGGTCGTTCCATCCCGCAATATACACGCCAATTGTTGGCGGGTACATTTTCAATCCGTTCACTGGGGTTTTGGATGTCGGAGACGACCATTCAGTAAGTTTTTTGGGGCTGAAATACCTTTGATTCACCGCTTGCGACGTTCTTTTCATCGGAATCACGGAATTTTTACTCGGCATTGCAGTAAATGCAAATTTGGAGCGAGAGGAAGACTTGACTCGAAATGGGTCAAGTGTTTCTCTGACCGCAAAATTGGAGGAATAATAGGAGTAGACGCTTTAAAATACGATTTTTGCATTATTTCCGTCAAATATTGCTGCAATAATGACAATTAACACAAAGCTGGTCAAGTGTTTTCCCGAGTTCAAAAATAATTCCAACCCTAAAATTCACTGTTACAGTATGACAACCCGCAGCACACTGTCAGCAACTTTGCGTTCATCATGGGCCTGCCTTCAATTTACTTGTACTTCTACTTGAAAAACAAATACTTCCTGAAGAAGGGAATGTCCGCCGGAAACAGCACTGGAAACACGGAAAGGGAACGTAGTGTAAGTGGAGCAAAATTTATAAATAACTTTCAATTTGTTGTGCCTAATCCTAACTTTTCAGTTATTCATCCAATGCGTGCTGCTGAGCAGTTTGGTGTGCGCTGCAACCGTTGGCTACACACTCATGCAAATTATGCCCGTCCCAACATGGTACATTTGCTTGTCGCATTTCCTGTGGGTGGTTATGCAAGGTAAGACCAAATTAAAGTTTTAGAAACCACGGCCTTTTCAGGCTGCCCTCCAATCATCTTCCTCACCATGAACAAGACAATTCGGAATATTTTGTGGCGCAGTATCAGTCCCAAGAATTTGTCGACGGTGGGACCGGCGTCCAATTCTCATGGATCCACCGCCAAGGTCTCGATCCGGAAATAAATTTGGATTTTTCCTTATACATATGTACTATAACATGTAAAATTTTCTATAGTTTTTGGTCAAAAATACGGTACGTTTTAAAATTTATTTTTTTTTTATTTTAAAAAACAAAAACATGAATGTAAGCTTCGTATTTTACCAATCTCAAACATCTTTTTTCGTATTTTTTGTTAATTTCTAGTAAGCCGTCTAGTCGTATCTAATCATTTCTGCACCAAAAGTCCTCCCGGCGGGCGCACACTTGCGGGCAACCACTTTGCGGGCAGCCAGTTTGCGGGCAAATTTTTTGCGGGCAGCCACTTTGCGGGCAGCCGACATTTGCGGCCAGCACCGGCATTTGCGGGCAGCCTGGGACATTTGCGGGCAGGGTCGACAGTTGCGGGCAGCCTGGAAGATTTGCGGGCAGCCGACATTTGCGGGCAACCGACACCTGATTGTGAGAGTAACAGGGTGGACGTGCAAAAATTACTATGATATTTTGGAAATTTCCCGACATTTGCGGGCAGCCGACATTTGCGGGCAACCGGCGCTTGAGGATAACAAGGTGGAGGTGGAAAAATTACTTCGATATTTTAGAGGTTTTCCGACATTTGCGGGCAGGCAATACTTGCGGGAAACCGACATTTGCGGGCAACAGTCCCAAAAGTTCCTATACAGTCTGTGTGATTGTTTTTTCCTGTTGCCCGCAAATGTCGGCTGCCCGCAAGTGTCGGCTGCCCGCAAATGTCGGCAAATTTCCAAAATATTGCAGTAATATTTCCACCTCCACCCTGTAACCCTCAGGTGCCGGTTGCCCGCAAATGTCGGCTGCCCGCAAGTGTCGGTTGCCCGCAAGTGTCCCAGGCTGCCCGCAAGTGTCTCAGCTGCCCGCAAATGTTTCGGCTGCCCGCAAATGTGACCCCCAAATTTTGCCCGCAAAGTGGCTGCCCGCAAAAAATTTGCCCGCAAACTGGTTGCCCGCAAAGTGGTTGCCCGCAAGTGTCGCGACGCCGTCCTCCCTTTTATTCAAAAAAATCTTAAAGTTCTCATTATCAAATTCCCGGTCTCCCCTTGCACTAGCCGTCCTCTCATTCCAATAATAATATATCCGATCTCAGTATATGCGTTATATGCGAATATCATGGTAGCCACTCCATAATATACCACATTATGTTCAATGTTTCAAGAGTAAAAATAAAATTTGAATTTATTCGAAAAGGAAATAGAAATCTCGAGGTCTTCATGAATGTACAAACAAGAAACGACTACAGTCGAAGTAAGTGTAATAAAATTGTTGAGATTATTGCGGTTTAGAGGCGAGAACGGGCGTCGGCGACTTCATCGTAGAGCTCGAAGTCTTTCGTGTGGATGTGCGATTTGGCCACTGGGGCAGGGGTGCTAAACATCAAATTTGTAAATTACATCACGTTTTAGTTGCCCTGGGCGTTTTTCCAACCTATATTGATGTTTGTAAACAAAATTTGGCCTAGAGGAAGACTTGACCCAAAATCGGAAAAGTAGCGAGAGTTGACTCAAAGTTAAGAATCAAGGAAACTGCCGACTCGAAAAGATATCTCTTCTGTAAACTGTCATGGTTATATCGCGTCTTATCACATCCTGTTTCATTGATTTGAGCCAGAAAAAGACTTGACCCAAAGATGACAAATCAGAGCAACACCTGACTCAAGACAAAATTCAACCCTGAGATTTTAAATCAGAGGAACAGTTGGCCGAAAAGTAAAACCTTCCAATTTCCTCACCTAATAATATCCGGCAAAATGGGCTGAACAAATCTTGTTGTAGTGGTCGTCGGAGTAGTCACTACAACTGACGTTGTTGTCGGTGTTGTAGCTTGAGCTGGCTGCCTAGGGATATTCGACAACCTTGAGTTTTCAAACGGCCATCTTTGGTTTGTTTGGACCGTCTGGCCGGGTCTTGGGATATTCTGGACCAGCGGCTGTGGGTTCAAGACGAATGCCGATTGGCCAACGGCCGGCAGCATCGGGATTTGGGCCTGTGGCGCAATTGGCGGCCGGACAGGGATCTGGGCGGCACTTGGAACCGGTCCAGCTGGGAACTGAGGTTGGACTGGCTGAGCTGGAGGGGCCGGAACCGCTACTCCAACTGGCTGGACTGGCTGGAAAACCGGTCTTGGGACCCATTGAACCGGCTGAGGAACTACTTGAACAAATTGTTGGCCAAGGACATGCTGATGGTAAGGAATGGATGGAACTAAGACTCGGCGTCCATTGACCACGAAGACATTCATATTTGGCTGTCCTGGCGCTTGGATGGGCTGCTGGACGAATTGTTGGACTGGCCGGAAAACGGGCCTCGGCTGGAATTGCGGCACTGGCTGTTGAGGTAGTTGTTGGACTGGTTGGGGCTGGAATTGCTGTACAGGCTGTTGAGGCAGTTGTTGGGCCGGCTGGGGTTGGAATTGCTGTTGAACCGGCTGGAATTGCTGCTGGGCGGGCTGGAATTGCTGTACAGGCTGTTGAGGCAGTTGTTGGGCTGGTTCGGTCTGTAACTGCTGTTGGACAGGTTGATTTTGCTGCTGGGACGGTTGAACTTGCTGTTGAACGGACTGAACTTGGTTTTGAACAAGTGGACGGCCAGTCACAGGCGCGACGTTTGTCCTAGGCTCAATTCCAACCTCCGAGTTGAGGATAGCTCGACGAGTCGTGGCCTGGGCTGGCCGTTCGAGCTCGGGAACAATTTTCAGCTCCTCTCGATTAACGGATTCACCACGAGCGGCGAGATTCTGAGACTCTTCCGGGAATTCATCAACAAGATTTGGAACATCAACAGTTTTGAAGAATTCATCGGGGTTCTTCTGAAAAACAAAGGTTTAGTGTAAAATACACGATGATGCAGGAGTCCATTTCGCAACGAATTCTTTCTTACCTGCACCAAGATATGCTTCTCCGACAACGCTGTGTCACTCTCGGTCAAAGTGATATCTCTGAACGAATTCTTGCCAAGCTCGCCGGTGAAGTAGGCTTTCCCAGTCTTCAGTTTGGCCGGAGCTTTTAGTCCGGGCTCGGTCAAGAGGTCAAGGTCATCGGGCTTTCTCATATCAATGAATTCCCTTGGGCGGTAATCTGGGATGTATTTTTTGGTCGTTGTAGACGGAGTGCTTGCCGCCGGAGTAGAGGTGGCTTGCACTGGTTTTGGCGTAGTTTCCACGGGCTTAGCAGTAGTTTTTTGAGTTGGTCTTCTAGTGGTAGTAGGACTAACATAACGGGTTGTAGTTGGCTTAGCCGTGGACCATGTGCTTCTAGCCGCGTGAGTTGGATGAGTAGCTCGAGTAGAAGACTCAGTGTGGCTTACGGCTTCATCATGATGATTTTGGCGGACTTGGTGCACTGCATGAGACACCTTTCCCTCAGCGCTTTCAACAGAAAGATCTTCAACCGAGTCGGTAACTGAAAACGCAAAAAACTCGATTTTAATATAGTAGCCGTAATAAGAACTTTTGCACCACACTCCATTTCAAAATGATAGACACCCCTATAAAATCTGCAATTGCGGCGTCGACGTGCAGTTGACGGATACGAAACCTTTACAGATTGAAAGAGGAGGTTCGAAAACCTATACCAAAAAATAATCTTTTTTATTGCACTGCAGTTGCACTTTGCATAAAAGATTTTCCAAATTTTGGGTGTTTCAAAAAGATAGACACGGTTGCTATTTTTGCTAAAAACTTGCGAGTATGGGCCCCATAGGGCCTGAAATTATTAGTATGACTGTATTGCAACTGTCTGGACTTTACTGAGTTCAAAACGCCCGAATTTTTGTGCAATTTTCCCGGAATTGCACACATACTTCCGTTTTGTGCAATCTGGCCTGCATCTTTCAGAAGTCCACTTTCTATGGGCACAGACAGTGCAGATGCGACCTATCGTGTGTTATGGACTAGATCCAGTCAGTTTTCACTGGTATGCAACAAATAAATGCGTGGAAATTGCAACGAAAACTGATTCGGCTGCTACATGGTCAGCTTTGAAGGCTGCGCTACGTTTCGAAACAAGCTAGATGCGAAGAAAAACTTCATGAGTGCAATGCTTAGGTTCTCGTAAAAACGTTTAAGTCTGTAGCATATGCAGCTCTGCTTTAGCGGGTCCGCAGTGCACAAAACTTTTGCGAAACTATGCGAAATAGGCTTAAAAATGGGTCAAAAAGGGTTTTTTGGAAACTTCACCTTTTCTGGCGTTGGCCCGACGGAGCCTGGACACAAGGCTTACTTAATAACGTTTGTTTGCTGATCGCCAAGATAGTTCGGAGCTTTTTGGGTTGTGAAAACCACAGGCACCCGCTTGAGGAGCTTTAAAAGTGACGACTATCGTTGCGAAATCAGTTTTCGTTGCAATTTCCACGCATTTATTTGTTGCATACCAGTGAAAACTGACTGGATCTAGTCCATAACACACGATAGGTCGCATCTGCACTGTCTGTGCCCATAGAAAGTGGACTTCTGAAAGATGCAGGCCAGATTGCACAAAACGGAAGTATGTGTGCAATTCCGGGAAAATTGGACAAAAATTCGGGCGTTTTGAACTCAGTAAAGTCCAGACAGTTGCAATACAGTCATACTAATAATTTCAGGCCCTATGGGGCCCATACTCGCAAGTTTTTAGCAAAAATAGCAACCGTGTCTACCTTTTTGAAACACCCAAAATTTGGAAAATCTTTTGTGCAAAGTGCAATTGCAGTGCAATAAAAAAGATTATTTTTTGGTATAGGTTTTCGAACCTCCTCTTTCAATCTGTAAAGGTTTCGTATCCGTCAACTGCACGTCGACGCCGCAATTGCAGATTTTATAGACGTGTCTATCATTTTGAAATGGAGTGTACTGCTAGGCCAGCTATGCTTCCTACCTGTCACAACAGTAGTCGTACTCGGCTCAGCCTTTGTAACGGGTACCAAAACCGGCGCAGCAGTCCACATAAATCCTTGCAGCGCGCCCGGAATGCTGGTAGTCAAATGAGGTGGGGCGGTGTAGAACGCAACCTTTGGAGGCTCAAGTTCGGGAAGCACTCGCAATTCGTATCTCTCCACAACCGGTCGATCACCAGTAACCGGTTCGTTGTTTTGGAGCTTTCGTTGGATATGTTTGTCAACGGAGAAGTCGTCTGCTTCACGTTTGGAACGATGAGCACGATGGGTGAAACCCGAGTTGAGCTGTTTCGACTGGAATATCTCAATAAAGCTAATTCTATATTCAATTTACATTATATCGCTGAGTAACAAAGTTGCTCAACAACAACCGCTTGGCGCTGGCGAATCGTTTCTCTGGATTTGCACTGCCACTCGACCGTACTTGAATAACCTCAGCTCTATGGACTTTTCTTTCCGGAGCATCGTCCAGCTCTCCGATCACTTCGACTGAGTCATCGCTACTGAATTGGATATCAGTTCCTTTCACTTTCACAACCCGTTCCTTCTCCAAATTCACTTGAGGTTTTGAGATGTCCTCAGGCTCTTCGGCTTCAACTTCGTCAAAGAAGTTGGCCATTCCTTCTTTCGCTGAAAAATGTGGTGGTAAAATACGTGGCGGAGTCTCTTCCAATTATACCGTCCAGAAATGGAAGGGATACAACTAAATTTTGAGAATTTAGTTGTAACTGCTGAAGCAAACTTTCAGGAACTCTTTCAGGTGGGGTATTTAGGTTTAAAAAATCTGCATCATGGTTCGGTCCCCATGTGAGAGGTATTGAACGATCTCTGTCGCTGAGACAGTATAAAAAACGCTGTGGGCGGTCAGGGAGAAAACAGTGAACCTTTGAAAAAGGGCACTCAGATTTGCTTAAAATTAACGATGAAAAGTCTACGCACTTTCTCTGCTCGCTACAGAAAAGTTCCATTGGACTTTTCAAATCAAATTTGTCGACTTACCGGTCTCAGTCGTAGTAGTTGCAGCCACTGTGGTTGTAACTGCGATACTAGCAGTAGTACTAGTAGCTTCCGTACTAACCGTAGGAGCAACAGTTGTGGTAGTAGTAGTTTCAACAGTAGTTGTGGTAGTAGTGGCCTCAGTAGTAGTAGTTGGCGCCAAGGTAGTAGTGGTGGTAACCGGCGCCAAAGTTGTCGTAGTAGTAGCCGTTTTATCTTCTTCAAACTCATCCTCGTCATCGGTAATGAACAAAGAGCTGGGAACCTTAACATGTTTGACTTTCAAACTCTCCTCAATTGCCTCAGGGTTTTCCACGTTCGCATCGTTCGTGACACGCGTGGTGTAGACTGGTGGCGGTGGTGGGGTATTCGCATTTGGATCCCTTAGGGCATTCTTTTTCAGTTTCATTTCTTCCTCATGTTGTTTGGCCTCTTCTTCGGCCTGAACAAAGTCTTCATTGATCAGATCGTATTCGGTGGGAACTGGATGGAGTTGTGGGTGAATGACGCCGGCTTCGTCGATGAATCGGGCGGCGCGGCGGCCTATAATACGACAGTTTTATATTGCAGAGCAAAAAATAATTTAATCGACCTTACAAGCTTCTAAAACACGCTTATTTACTCTTCTTGTTTTCCTTACCTCTAGTAACGATAGTTTTGCTGACACTGGTCTTAATTTTAGGCGTGGCTGTAGTCCTAGCAATCGGATTTCTTGGTTTGACCTCGAAAATGGTCTGAGCCGGATCCGGCTCCAATGTGTCCATGGAATGTTTGTGTTTCGAGTCCTCAATCTTTCCTGCCAACTCTGGCGATTGTTGAGGTTTCCGGGCATTCTGACTTGGCCCTCTTCTCGGCTCGGCCCAAAGGAGAGGAGCTGTGGATATAAGGAATATCGAGGCTAGCAACCTCATAGTCTAAAAACGGAAAAATTGTAAAAAGAGAAGGCATACATAAATTACGACGCGCCTGTAAGGTATGAGAGTTAAATTCGTATGCCACTAATGAACGGCTTTGTAAAATACGATATCCAGACTTCATTCTCGCAAAAAAAAATTCTTTACTACTCTAAAAATTAAGTCCATAGAATGTTCGTGTGAAATCTGACATCGCAAAAAATGCATGTCACTTGGGTGAAAACCACTGTGCAAGGATTGCACTTTGCGAAAAGACAAAAACCCACTGTGCTTTGGCGACAAGCGTGGTAAAAAGCTCAAAATGCACTGCGAGGATGAGAATAAATGTCCATGCACTTTATGAAAATACGAATATGTATGCCAAAACACCTAAGCGTTAGTTGCAGAGGAATCTGCGGTAAATAGTTCTCGATGTACTTCCAAACAACAACTCAGGAATTCAAACCTAAAAAACCTGAAACTTCATCTTATGTCCACAACCCAGTACAACAAAACATATCTATAGCAAAATATCTTACAAGTTTGACAACAAAAAAATATGCAAACCTCTGAGAAACAAAATCCTTTCACACCAAAAACCTATGTAGTCCCATACGATCTGTTACACGAACGGATTCACTACACAGCAGAGTTCACACCGCAAACCTCAAAACTCCCCAAAACCGCAGTGCTCGTTCCAACTGGAACACCGTCGACTTCACCCCCTTCGATGATGAACTTCCCTTTCATCATCATTTAGCCCCCTCGTTACCCGCAAATTCACCGGCTCCCCGCGTCGGTCGCAGCGCGCGGTCTTGCCTCGGGCAATCTGTGATTATTTTCACTTTCCTATAAAAACACATCGTTCTTGTGATTTGATTTGGTTTAGCCCATTCGGAGGTCATTGTTTTCAGTGCGAAAAATTGAATGCGATAAGCGTTTTTCTTCGGTTTTTTTTTCGGGGTTTCAAATACGAAAAGGAAGTGAAACAGCAGATTGTAAAACGCATTGTGTCGGTGTAATGAAAGCGAAAAAGGTTTTGGGCGGGAAATTACAATGATTAAGCCTAAGAAATTTCAATTTTTGGGGGAAAATCTATGATTCGCAAAAAAAATTTTTTTTTTTTGAAAATTCTACTTTCATCATCGAAATACCATAAAACGCTGTAAGAAGATTGAAAAAAGCCAGAAATCAACAGCAGAAAATTTTAGGTCGCGCTTTTCAAAGAAAGCCGAGAAATTCGATGATTTTTTAGACGATACAGTACGTAAAATAAGGAGATCCGGTCAAAGAAAAAAGTTCTTCGGTCTGACTAGAAAAACACCTTTTGCCATAAAATTTGCTAGTTCAGTTAGACTAGGGCTCGAGACTAACGCAGCCTGCGGCTGCTACCGTCTCTCGGGCGGCCCTGCGGATAAAGGCAACTTTGAGCGCGATTTGGATCTATTCAACGTCGAAAACAGCACAAACGCTCGCCAAAGCTTTGCCGACGGCCTCCGGCCGCGGCAGAAAAACGCTACGCGTTAGACTGAGCCTAGTAGAAACTTGTGACGTTCGGAACGCTAAGCCGCCCTTGTTTTAGATCGAGAAGTTAAGATCGCTAAGCTTACACTAATCGCTAAGCTCAGGTCAGTTCCAGATCGCTAAGCCCGGCTAAAGAGCCCGCCGGCATAAGGCGACGGCCTACGGCCGCCGCGAGACTGCATTTTGTTACCTAAAATAATTTTTCTTCCACCATAAGCTGATCAAAATCGCATAAGATAAGCAAAAATCAACTAAAAAAATGGACTCAGCACTTAAAAGTATACTTAGATAATATTTTTCCCGAACTCTCCGTCAAATTTGGCCCTAAAACGGCCAAATCCCGAGAATCCAGGACCAAAAAAATAATTTTCTAAAAATTTCTCAAAAAAATCCAGAAAACCCCGTCATGACGCGTCACGATGACAGCTTCCGTACCACCCTCCTCACACTCAGCACTCTCTTCGCCTTATCTCTAACCGAAATCGAAAGAGAAAACCTTTGTCTACCCATCCTCCACCCCTTTCTCACTCTCTCTTTTCTCCCGCCAAACGAAGAGGGAACCGGTTCTCTGCCCACTCTCTCTCTTCGCCGCGCTCTTTTTTTGTGTTTTCGGTCATGGAAGTGGGCGTTTTTTCAAAACTGGCACTTGTTGCGCTAAAAGTACCGGGAAAAACATGCGACTATGTCCGAAATGACATGGAGATTCCGAATATGTAACTTTTAGACCGATTGTAATTGGAAATTTTTGAGTTTTGGTCGAGTTTGTGATTATGTAAATTTTGAAAATTTTTTTTCGTTCCAAATATCTTACCAAAAAGTTGGATGTTACTACTGAGGCTTTGCATACTTCTCCGAAGTCTAAATACGAAGTGCACTTGAGAGCGGGATTTTTCGATTTCGACCTTGTTTTTCAGATAATGTAACTTTCGTCAAAGTAAGCAAAATCTAAAAATTTTGTAATTCGAATATTGCTCTCGCAGCTTGGTCGTATTTTAGAATTCGATTGCCGTTTCTATAGCAGTTCAGTGTGCTGAATACGATAGAGGAAATGAAAATTCAAAAAAATTCCATCTGATGCCCTGAGGGCCGAAATTCGGCCAAAATTAAAAACTTTTTTTTGATGACCCAGTGCACAGCGAATACGGAACCCAGCGACCTGAAACTTCGCATGTTGGTAGTTTGGTTTGTCGACTATCACATCCAGCAAGTCAAGTTTTCAAAGATCGCTTCTTGCCCTGAGGGGATCTTTTTGAAAAAGGTGCCCATTTTTTGGCCGAAATTTCCGGCCGCTCTGGCGGCCGTATTTCGAGAGATACGAATGTGGTGTAAGCGGGTAAATTGTAGAGCTCGTCGAGCTCTACAATCTATAGTCGGGCACTTTTGACATTGTTGTTGACCATCCGGGGTAAAAATTTGAAAAACTGAAAATTTGAAAAATTTGAAAAATCGACTTTTTTTTGGCGAAACTGGTTCTGAGAGATGACGATGACTACAGGTCCAAAAACAATTGAGGGTAATCTTCGACCAAAAAAAATAAGATTTGCGAGTGATTTTTTTGAATTTCGACGTGGGAGCCGAGAACCATTTTGTTGAACTTTGCACTGTGCAAATCGTATTTTTTACACTAAGCCATAGCTAAAATACGAAGGCGAGTACGGGAATGAAAGACACGTACTAATAGGAAGTCGAGTACGTTGAATTCAATGGAATCGAAAAAATCCAGAAAATCCGTCATCATGACGGGGTTTTCTGGAAGTGTAACTTTGTACATGGCCGTATCTACACATACATCGAGATATCTCTTAGTTATGAATTTGCTTTCCCGATATGGACCTGTAGAAGCTTGCATTTCAATAAAGCTGGACGCGTCGAACGTTTACGAAAAAAGGTCATTTTTTGAGATTTTTTTCGTAAATTTTGAAATTTCGAAAAAATCTCGACAGTGATTGTCCCATTATGTACCATACGCTACGAAACCAAAAATCAAGTCGGTAGCTGTAAAACGGAGCGAGATACAGAGACTCAAAGTTTCGACTTTTCATGACGTCATAGGTCACTCAAAATTGAAAATTCCGAATTTTTTTTTCAAATACTCAAAGAGAGCATCTAAAAGAACCACCATACCAAAAATCAAGTCAATCGGGGCAAAACAAAAGTATAACCACAAACCCTATGAATACTTGTATTTTTTTTTAGAAAACTTTTCGTGCAAAAATTGGCCAAAAAATTTTTACCAATTTTCGATCTAAAAACCTCGGTCGTTTCGGCAAATCGCAAGCTATAGACTAGTCGTAGGGTATGTCGTAAAAAAATTATTGTAAATTTCTACCAAGTTTTGACAAAATCGGAACGTCGCACTTGGGGTCCTTCCCGAGATCTAAATTCATACCTAGTTTCATTGAAACTCCACATAGAGTAAAACCAAAGTCCAGAAGATCTAGTCATCTCACCAAATAAATCAAAACACCTCAAACGAGTCAACGACAAACCACAGAACGTGTGAGATTCGATCCATTAATGATGAGAAATGAGGAATTTGAGGGGAGAAAGTAATTGATTACTCACTAGAACCCTCTGGGAAGATAATGCAATGTAGAATCGGGTAAACAACTCTATGACGTCAAATTACAAAAGTAAAAACGAGGATAAGGAGATATTTGCGTCATCAGCGGAAATACGAAGAGAAATTGCTGGGGAACCGAAAAAAAGAAGTATCCCCTTATTTTTTCAACTCATCCGAACACCTGAGAGAAAGAAAGTGAAATCCAGCAATTACGGGACGAACTAGTTCTTTCTTGAAAGGAACTAACTAGTCAGCAAGGCATCAGTCTGTCGGAAAAATAATGAGCACTCTGTCGCAGCGAAAATCGCATCGTCGTCGAGAAAATGAATTGTGTCGCGGGAAAATCAAATTGCTTTTAACTTTAGCGACGGGATTGGCGCCATAGCGGTGAAAAGTTTGCGGACAACAAGTTTTGGAACGACAGTTGGCTTTCCGAAGATAATATCAGTCTGTCGGGAAAATAATGAGCATTCTGTCGCATTGAGAATCGCACCGCCGCCGAGAAAATGAATTACGCGGCAAAATCGAATTGCTTTTCACTTCAGCGACGCAATTGGCACAGCGACATTGTGTTCATTATTTTCCCGACAGGCTGGTATGAGCAGACCTAGTTACGTCTCCGACGAACCGTCAAAGGTAGGCATATGTCATACCAGTCTGTCGGGAAAATAATGAACACGGTGTTGCTGCGTCAATCCCGTCGCTGAAGTGAAAAGCAATTTGATTTTGTAGCGACACAATTCATTTTCTCGGCGGCGATGCGATTTTCGAACCGACGTTGCGTTCACTATTTCTGCCTGATAGTATCAATCAAAAATCCGGAGAAATTTACATGTTGCCCAGGCCAAGAATCTACGTAAAACTTTAAGCAAATCCTGACTTACGCATTTACCTTGAAAAAAATGCCAAAACTGCAATTTCAGCAGTAAAACAAACTTATAGACCATCAAAAACAAATATCATCAAAAAATTCTTTCATAAAAATACTAGTTGCGCAACCGCAACTCCTCAAAAACCTTCCCAAATCTAATACATATGACAGATCAGCGGCTCACCGCGATAATAAATAGTTATTGTTCCAGCGTTTCCGCTCTTCAATTACTAAGAGTTTTGACTCTTTTTTGAAACAACAAAGGTTGAAATTCCCAAAAAAAGTTGGCGATTGATCGATCGCCAGAATTCAGTGAAAATCAACAAGCTCCTTTGGGAGCTCTTCGAGGAATGAAAAAATTTTTTAGCCAGAAAAAACATGTTTACAGTAGAAAAAAATCAATTTCTAACCTAGAATTGACAATTTCAAAACAAATTCCAAACTAAAAATTTTGAACTCCAAAGCTAAAAAATTTTGAGTCAACTCTTTCTCTCTTTATTTTGGTCGGGTCAAGTGTTTCTCTACCTGCCAAATTCCGAATGTAACACTTGATTATTTCTTTCAAGCAGCAAACCGTCTAATTTTACACTATGGGTCAAGTCTCCCACTAATCTTCAAGTCTGAGTCAAGTCTTGCTCTCCGTTGTCTTTTGAGTCAAGTGTTTCTCCAAAAAGTGAAATGTTCGCATTTTACTCAAACACTCGAGTAAGCACTGAAAAACAAAAAATTTTACCTTTTTGGATCCGCTTTTCCATGTTTTGGGTCAACTCTTCCTCTAATTTCCTAAAAAAATCAATCAACTGTTCCCCTCAAGTCAATTTGCAAAATACGCCGAAATATAATAATGTCACAACGTATCACAAAAATTTTCGCCCGAAACCCCTCTCAACCCTCCGAATATTAGCTTTATTAACAACCAAAACCATGGACAAATAGCCAACAAAAATTATAGATCTGATTAAAATATAAACAGCAAATGAGAGGGATAAATATTACTAAAAACGAGGAAAATATGGGTTGAGATGAGAGATAAATAGTAAAACAATATAACTGGCACAGATCTATCTGTAGCCATTCACCAATTTGATGATAGCGTTGAGGCGGGAGCGCCATTCAGTGCACATATCCTCTGTTTCGGAGGCCAGGAGAATTCTAAAATACGAAAAAACGACTTCAAATTACGAAAGTATCAAAAAAATTGTTTTGGGTCAACTGTTTCTCCCGAAATAAATTTTTGAGTCAACTGTTTCTCTCATGCCAAAACACCTTGTAAAATATGCAAAAACTCTAAAACTGATATCGAGCTTACCTTCTAGAGATTGTTTTATCATTTCCACTGGTTGAGACATAGTCAAAATAAAATACAAAGGTCCCATCGGTCCATTTATCGCGGGCTTCGGAGACCTCTCTGGAGCAGATGTCGGATATGGAAAGGACGGCGAATGGGCGCTGAAAACAACAAAAATATATTCCACTCCATTGATAATGCTAAAATACAAACTTTTCATTTTGAGTCAAGTCTTTCCCCCAAAATAAAATTTGAGTCAAGTGTTTCTCTGATTAAAAATCTTTGTAAAATACGATATTTGACATTGTGCATGCCTTAAATCAACATTTTCAAGCATAGTTCAACCGCCAAACCAAAAAAAAGTCTAATTTTTATATTACACTAGACAAATCAGCTCACCCGATGATTATAGATGTCGGTTTCAGTGCGGTAAAAGTTCAGGACTCCTCTGTAGAGCTCCACAAAGAAAGTGACCCATTCCGGTTTGCGATTGTGGCGGGTTTGATGAACTCTCTGCAAAAAAACCAAAAATAACCATCAAAGACAGCAATTTCATCAAAAAAATCTCAAAAAATCCCAAAAAATCGCCCAAAATCCCACCAAATAACCGCTGAGCGCGTCTTCCATGACTCCAGGTAGTTCCGAACAATTAATTTTCAATTCGATCGTTCCTTCTAGCGGATATTCCACATCGTGCATTAAGAATCTTCTTTTGCCGGCCATTTCACTGGTCACCACCAACCATCCGCAACGAATGAACTCCGACTCCAGCCAATTTGGGTGGATTGACAGTTGGCGTTGATGCATTTCTCTCTCCATTTTTTCCATCTTCTTCGAGCCACAAGCGAACAGACAGTCGGACGGAGGATCGGGACGATCTTCGAGCTTCTGAAAACGCAAAAAATAATAATACAAATAGGAAAGCAGACTCTATAAAGGCCGTGGTTTATATGAAATTAACCAAAAAAGTTCACAAAAGACTTGTTATTCCGTATTTCACAATTTTTTGTTTGAGAGAAAAACTTGACCCAAAATCATAAATAGAGAGAAACACTTGACCCCCAACCTAAAACAAATTAAAACGCCCTCAAAATCGTTATTCGGAACTTTTGAATTTCGCTTTTCCCAAAAATTGAATGGAAGAAACACTCGACCCGAAATACGAAACCGAAAGGAACAGTTGACCCAAAATTTCGAATTCTTTCGAAAATAACCTTATCATCAGCTAAAAAAGTTCAAAAACGATTTTTCGTACCGTATTTTACACTTTTTTCTTTGAGAGAAAAACTTGACCCAAGATCAAAAATAGCGCGAAATACTTGACTCAGAGCTCAAAATCAATTAAAACACCCTTAAAACGTCATTTGCAACTCTTGAATTTTAATTTTTCCACAAAAATTCAATGAAAGAAACACTTGACCCAAGATTAGAAACGGCTGGGAACAGTTGACCCAAATTTTCCAATCGTTTCAAAAATAGCCTGATTATCTCCTAACACCCCATAGATTTCAATTTCCGAATAAATAACTGTCAACAAAAAAAACTTGATCCAAAACTCCAACTCGAGGGAAACACTTGACCCAAACCCCCCAAAAATAATCTCAATTCCTTCCAAAAATACAAAAACCCCCTTACCATCTGATAAATTTCAATATGGGCGCGGAAGTCGATGGGTAAATTGTCCAATCTGATCGGATCATTGAAAATCAAAGTCGCCAGCCGGACCGAGCGATGTTCATGGACGACTGTGGGCTTGGTGTACTTCACAATGGTGCCGCACTTGATCAGAGCGACAAATGCGTAAGTTGTGGCTGAAAAATGAGGTGCAAATACAAAAAAAAAGTTCCGAAAATGGGGCAAAAACCCAGAATTTCTTTCATTTTCTCAAGAATATCCCTCAAAATGTCCAAAAAATAAATTCTCCATCCTCCACACCCCTACTACTGTCATTTCCCTCCAAAAACTCACATCCATCCACAGTTTTCATATAATAATTCCTGTTCAACTTGAGTCGCATGCTCAGCAAGTCCATATTATAGCTGATATGTCGTCTTCCCATGGGATGCAGGACCTTCAATTCGATGTAATCATCAAGTCGGCGGAGTTCCCGCTTCAGCGCCGCGTACTCTTCCAGGTTCACGAGGAGATCGCGGTTGGCTTGGAGCTCCTCGGCACTCCCATTGCCCACAAGACGAGTGCGATAGAAGCCGAGGAGATCGCAATTCAAATGAATTGTGGTCTTCAGATGCTCGATTCGGTCGAGAATTTCCTGAAAAAGTGGATCGTGAGTGTATGGGAGTGATCTGATTTGGTGTGAAATTAAGTGTAGTTTCTGATTAGACAAAAACTTTCGCAATTGAGCAAACAAATTTTACTATATTGACCATTGGTTGTCATGGATAATATAGTGGAAAAATGATTAAAGAAGGTGTAACCAGGAGGTTAGAAGGATATGAATAGAACTAATATGATGTATTATCTCTATTGAGTAGTAAATTTTTTCTGATTTTTGGGAAATTTGCATATTTTGAGACGATATTGTACATTAATGATCAAGGTTATTACACGTTGAAATAAAACTGAAAGTAGTGGCGTTTTTGACGGTAAAAGGTGAGGTAGGGTCTACGAAGGTTTATACTGCCTATAGCGAGGTAAAATTTGCATATTTAAAAGAAAATATGCAAATTTCTGATAAATCAAAAAAAATTTTACAACTCAATAGAGATAATATGTCATAATAGTTCCATTCATCTCCTTCTAACCACTTGTTTTCACCTTCTTTAATCATTTTTCCAATACATTATCCATGACAACCAATGGTCAATATAATAAAATTTGGTTGTTCAATTGTGAAATTTTTTATCTAATCAGAAACTACACTTAATTTCACACCAAATCAGATCATTCCCATACACTCACGATCCACTTTTCCACCAACTTTCACCAATATTATCCATGACCTACCTTGCAGATCTCATTATTGGTTCTAATCGCGGCATTGGTGTGGTCCATCTCCGCCGGCACAATCGACGACACCTCCGTATAATAGCTGGCGTTATCGTCGCAGACCGAGGCCTGATGCGCATTTCTGAGGTCTTCCTGGGTTATTGTAGGCTCATCTACTGTCTCTTCAGCTCTGACCACACTGCTGGGCGCACGATAAATCTTTGGGCTCACGGCGCAGCTACGGTTGTATTCCAAGGATTTGGCGGTGTGGACACTAACTTCCTCGACGACTTGATCGCCGTAAGGTTTCATGGACAAGTGGCGCTGAGGAGTAGTGGAATTTGAGGTGGAAGTCTGGGTGTAGTTCTTTTGTGGAGACGGTGGTTCAAACTCAGGACGCATAAACATCCCTCTGACACGATCTTCGAGCTCTTTCTGGAAGAAATTGAAGAAATTTTATATTACCTTAGGTCTATGTCAAAGTCTCAGAAAAAATATGTCTACATAAGGCAATAAAGCATCCCTTTTAGACAACAAGGACCTTGAAAGGTCAAATATATATCCAAACTTCTCTCAATAACTGTTTTTGCCATCAAACTAATCAAAACTCGTCAGTTGTCTATTACAATGTCCGAGATTCCTAAAAACAGAAAAAAAACAAAAAGCTACTTACGCCATAATCACGTCTTTTGGCTTTTTTTGAATTCGGATCGCGAGATAATGGCGTTTCACATGATTCTGACGGATAAAAATCGGAAATTGTATCCAAATTCGGCTCCGATTGTTGGTTGTTATTTTCAGCCTTTGATTCAAAGAATGATTTGGCTTTGAGGTACTCCAAACGACGAGTTGAGCATGCTAGTGGCTGAAAATAGGAGGGTAGAGGGTTCCAATGACGCAATATTGGAAAGGACGCATAACTGATAATCGACTAGGGAAATTTGAAGGTACAGGATTAAGAACCAATAAACAAGTCGCAAAATTCAGTGTAACAGCAAGACAACGGCTACATCTAACTGCTACAACCAGTGATCCTCCATATTACCTTCGAAATACATCTTTCTTTACCTAAACCATCAAGCACTCATGGATAACATCGCTTACCTCGCTAATCTGTGCCCGATTCAAAGGTGCACCAAAGGGGACCGGTTCCTTATGTGGAGTAGCTGGTGAGAATTGAGGAACAGTCGTGTTCAGTCTGGGCTTAGTTGTTTTAGGGGTCGAATAAGCTCGATCCAACTGAAACATGAATAACAATATAATTTGAGCTGGAAAAATAAATTTTAGGAAACAAACCAAATTTTTTTTGATGGATTCAGCAGTATAAAGGTCTAGGCTAGCCGTTAGCATCATAAAAATCTCCTTTTGAGTTAATTTTCGAAAAGAAACCATCAAAACATTGTTTTAGGTCAAAAATGCCAACAAATCTTAAAAATTGGACGTAAAATCGATGAAACAGGCAGTAGGAAACTTAGATCATAAACTTACACTCTCTGACATTCTATAACCTTCTTTCATCCGTCAAATACATGCGATTTTTACAGCAAAAAATCTATTTTTTGGGAGAAGAACGAAAAAATTTTGCGCAACAAAAAAATTTCCAGAAAATACGTCAGCATGACGGAAATTCTTGGAAATTCGTCATGATATAGGACAACTGTGGCCTGTACTTCTTTTTACTGTAGTTTTTTAGGTAAAGAAGGTGATTTTTTCTATTTTTTACATCTATTTCTCATGGATAACATAAAATCAGTCTTTATTTTTGAGAAAAAATCGATTTTTATGCAATATTATGAGAGTTGAAGCATTTCAAAGGCCAATATAGCGGAGAAGAGTCTTCTTCTCGGGCAGGACCTCTTCTGGAAGTCGATCTGGACAGGGATCGCAGACCCATTCGATCACGGAGAAGGAAGAAGATGACTCGAATTGGTCCATAAGCTGTTCGTTAATGGCTTTTTTGCAGAGTCGATCAAAGCGATTGACCTGGAAGGTATTATTTCACTTAGGAATACGTCAACTTGAAAGTTTTAAACCAATTTTCATCAATTTTGCGACTAATGATGTCAAGTGTAATATAAATTTTTACAGAAGTAATCTCAGGTTAGAATTGTCTGAAATTTTCTATATGTGTTCTGAATAGGTTACACAGTAATACCTGACAATTTTAGATCTTCCTTTACTTTGACAGCCGCGGTATTCAACGATCTTTTATGGCGAGAGAGCACATAGAATGAGGAGAGTCAGTCAGACAAATAAAACCTTTTTGGACCTTATCTTTGCGGATTTTGGTTGACAAAAAATAGTTTTTTTTTGTAAAAATGCTTTGCATAGCATTTGTCATAAGTCTCGACCTTTCTGCGATAAAAAAAAAAAAAAAAATTTGGGATTTTTTATCTTTTCGACTTGAAAATCTCGAAGGTTTATGTATTTAACCTAGAAAAAAATTTTTTTGATAAGTGCCAAGTTACAGAAAATTCATAAAAAAGTTATAAAGTATCAAAAAGTATCCAAAAGTTATCCAAAAATCCCGAAAAATCACTCAAAGGATCCTAAAAAAATTCTTTTACCTCATTTTCATTCTCATCGATTGTCTTTTGGATCAAAGAATGACGCTCCAAATCGTCTTCAGGCAACGGATTTTCCTTCAGTTTTTCGAAGATTTGATAACATTTCTGTTTTTGACTCAACACAACAACTTCAGTTGTGGTTTCAGCGGCCTCAAAATTAGCCTCATCCTCGGAGAATACGGCAAGCACCAATGAGATTAACAAATATCCTTGTAAACTCTTCATTTCTCGGAGAAATGGGAGAAAAATTAAGTCGATTTAGATCAAATGATGAGAAGAATTGCGAAAAATTATGAGACATCTAATTGATTTTGCTAAATGTTCGAAAATCTCCAGTGATTTTGATAGTATTAGTCATGGGAAAATGAAATTTCGTCGTTTGAAAGAGCCATATTTTATTTATTGTGGGATATTTGTCATCAAATCCACCCCTCCAGCCGAAGTCTATCGTATTTTACCACGCTTTTAGTGAGAGAAACACTTGACCACAAATCAGATTTTGAGGGTAACACTTGACCCAAAATGATAAAAGTTGTTAATTTTCTCGTTTTCGCCAATTTTTTTATTGTGTACTAATCAAGAACTCCGTATTTGCGGTTAGAGAAACACTTGACCCAAAATTAGACTTTGAGGGAGAGACTTGACCCCAAATTTGTTTTTGAGGGAAACACTTGACCCAAAATGAGAAAAGTCACCAATTTTCTGGTTTAGATCGAATTTTGCTTATTATGTATCCAGAGTGTCGTATTTTCAGTTAGACAAACACTTGATTCAATTAGGTTTTGAGAGAAAAACTTGACTCAAAGTCAGAATTTCATTGAAACACTTGATTAAAAATAAAAAAAAAAGCTGCTTGTTTTCTCAAGTTTTGGTCAAATTCTTTTTTATTATATTATTCAAGCACTCCGTATTTGGAAACGTTCTTTTGATAAGAGAAACACTTGACTCAAAATCTAAAACTAGTTCCTTTTGGCTCTGTAATGCATGGATTTGTTGTCAGGAGTCGTCGATGGTGTGAACAGATTCTCCAGCTTCGTCTGGAAGCTCTCTTCCAGCAGTCTCCGGCAAGATAAAAGTAAGAAATCCAGCGACGGTCGCCATTGAAACGAATAGAAGGTTGGGGAGATCAGGATGGAGGATCCCCTGAAATTTGAAACCATATCGATGAATTATATAAAAACGGAGGACTTCCGGCCCAAATGTGCTTAGATATGGCCATTGGATGGTCGGCGGACCCTCGGCGAAGGCTCGGCGGAGACTTGGCGAAGACTTGCAATATGTTCACTTTTCCCAATTCTGCTATTACTAACTCTAGTTTTCTTCGCCCTGCGTTATTGTAACATATAAACGACCAAAATTTGAGGGGAAAAATAAGATCCGTAACTTTTGTCTAGATATTATATTATTGATGTGAGGTGATTACATGTAAAATATCTCAAAATAGATTACAAACTGTAAACTGAGGACCCGATTTATCTTTTCTACTAACTAACCTTTCTCCCAGCCTCCCCATGCATAAAATGATGGACCTACGTGGCCTATTTTTGGTCGTCGCTCGCACCCTGACCTTTTTCGCAAAGCTTATGTTGCTAAAAGCACTCCAGCGACCTTGCGAACGGACTTCAACGTCCAAAAATCAAAGTTTTATGTTTCCCAACTCACCAGCACTCTAATCGACGGCGCAAACGCGCCTCCAATCCGTCCTACCGTCGAGCAGAACCCAATACAGCTCGATCTGACTGTAGTTGGGAACACTTCACTGGCATAGACATAGAGCGCCGTCAATGCGCATGAGATCCCAAACTTTCCAATCAGCCAAACGATCAGGTAGAGCTTGTGGTTGTCGATGAACATGACTCCAAGGAAAGCGACGGCAGTGATAAAATGGGAGAGCCCGACAAACCATTGACGGCCCAGGATTCGGAGGCAAGGCGGAGTGGCCAAGTAGGAGGGGACTTCGATTAAACCGGAGAGGATGAAGTTGAGGTAGGTGAAAAGAAACGGATATTGGAGGAAGTTCATGGAAAATTTTATTCATTGTGTTATGAGGAGAGCAGTTTTTCGGAGCAAATTTTTTCTCCGGGTCAAATTTTTTCTCCGGAGCAAATTTTTTCTCCGGGTAAGGACAGGAGAAACGTTTACTGTATTTTTGCATTTTTTTGGCTGCAAATTTTTTTGGAGCTTCTTTGCCTCCGGAGAAATTTTTGCTCCGGAGCATTTTTTACTCCGGAGTATTTTTCGGACTACACTCTTTTGCGGATTTTTTTTGCCTGTGAGTTTTTTGCGGAGCAACTTCTACTCCGGAGCAAAAATTTCTCCGGAGCAATTTTTCTCCGGAGCCATTTCTTCCTCAATTAAGCAGCAATTTCTTCTCTAGAATCCAAAATTAGGTTAAAAAACCAAAAATCGACTAAAAATTCAATTTTCAACTCACCGATTCCCAGCCAGCTCAGTGCTAAACAACGATAATCCATAATAAATGAAAATGTCGCAGGTCCACAAATAGGCCAGAACAAAAACGTAGACGATCAAAATTTTCTGTTTCTTCAGTTCATGGACAACTCCATGATTGCCTTTTTGTTCATCGCCGCCAAGTTCCTCCTCAAACAGATGGTCCAATTCGGAGAGATCCAACTTGTTTTCGGACGATTTGTTGGCTCTCTTGATGAATTCGATTGCCTGCAAAATTGAGTGTAAAATACGCCGGGAACCGATTCGTGTACACACGTATTCCTACAGACAAAATCTGAAAGTAACGAAAAGTTTGGATTCGTCAACTTGACCATACCATTCATGCCGGAATTTCCCAAAATCTGGCTAATAAAGTTGGCCTAAAAATTCGGTTTTTTCTGCAAATCGATTTCGCTGTTTTTTAGAAAAAATGTGCTAAATTTGTGCTTAATTTCGTCGGAGTTTGAGCGTCGCAATTGGGGTACCTCCCTTGTTAATTTTAGCTTGTAAAACGTGCTAAATTTTTCCGAAAAAAAGACTCCTTACCTGCTCCTTTCTCCCATTCACCACACTGAAATGAAAACTTTCCGGCGCCCACACCTGCACTCCAACCGCGTAAAACGCCGAAGGCAATGAGAGCGCGACCATGAAAGGTCGCCAATTCTGTAGCCAAAAGTCCAACGGAGCCAAAATACAGTAGCCCACGACCCAAGTCATCCCAAAAACCAATGGGCAATAGGGCCGGAGAAGATAGGGACAGCATTCGTAGGACAGAACCCAGTTCAGAATTATGCAACCGGCGAAGAAATAGCCTTGAATTAGGCGACATACGGCGAAGAAATAAATATTGGGCGAGAGGGCGCTGAGGGATCCGCTGAGACCCATCAGCAGCAAGGAGATGACCAAGGTTGGGCGACGGCCAAAGCTGAAAAATGGGCAAAAGTTTTTTCGTATCTTGTGTACAGTTACGGACCTGATCCAGTGGCAAAGAACGTACCATTTTGCATCCGGAAAGTGTCAAAAATGTGGCAAAATGCCTCCCTCTCCAAGTGAAAAAACTCAGATTTCAAAAGCGCGCCCGCTCTTTTTTGCGAAGAAAAAGGGCGCACCCTTCAAAACGAAGTTTTTTCACCCGGAGTGGGGAGCATTTTGCCACATTTTTGACACTTCCCGGATGCAAAATGGTGCGTTGTTTGCCACTGGATCAGCTCCCCCACGGTACGTGTAGCTGAATCGGCGGTCGAGCGTTTTCCGTGTGCAAAAAAGAGCTTAATTTACCTGTCCGACAACCTTGCCATCGTACTGGCTCCAACGACATTTCCAACCAAGAACGCTGTAGTTGTGAGATCCGCCAAGTATGCACGCTCATTGTTAAGATCAAACTGCAAGAACAACGAATCTTTTTGTTTTGGAATTTTCTGCCAACCGGAAAGCGGGGATAAGGCCGTCGCACGTCAAACTGAGGAGTCCGGTGACCGGAATAGGCCCTTCGCGATCCGTTTTTTACACTTCGTCTTGATTTGGTGGAGAAGACAGAGAAAAAGACGCGCAAAAACGTACTCTCTCGCCACAAAAATTCCCCATTTCTTCGCCGACAAAACGTTTTTTCGCGTCTCTTTTGGCAAATTGTTAATCCATTTACCGGACCGTTTTAGCTTGTCTCAGCTTGACGTGCGTCGGCCCGGCTAGACATGGCTCGTCGGCCGGCCCGGGCCCAAAATCTCGGCCTGGCCCGTCGGCCTGAAGGGTTCCGGCCGGCCCGGCCCGTTTCAAATTTTCCGTCGGCCCGGCACGTTTTAAATTTGTTTCGGCCCGGCCTGGGCCGGCTCATTGAAACAAAAGTCTCCCCAAGTCTAACTCCTTATGACCAAATTTCTTTCTATCATCATGTAAATGGATAAATACTGTGTTCCATAGCTATCTAAAAACAAAAAAACCTTTAAAAAAAACCAATTGTGTCTTGACATCGCATTTATTTTCATTATCAAACCCAATTTTCACTTCGAGATTCTGGATTTTAAATATTCCGGGCCGGGCCGAAACGCCGGCCCGCCCCGGGAGCCATGTCTAAGCCCGGCTAGGAGCCATTTTTTCGGTCTGTATTTTATGAAAACTTAAACTCACCTCAAACGCCACTGTTCCCTGAGTTCCAGTGCAATTTGTCTCCGCCGTTGTGCACACCTTCCCTAAGAAGAAAGCGCTGGCCAAAATTGGCATTACAACGAGTCCCCAGATCACTGACATCACTATGAAGACTGCCAGTAGAAAGTTATTTCTTGGACCTGAAAAAAAGATGATTTTTGGCAGTTTAAATGTGTCCTAGGGGCAATAAGTTCTGTGGGATTGTATGTCAAGCAAATCTTTAGAAACGAAGCCGCCTCGACAAAAAATCCAGCGCGTTAAATATATAGTACTTCATAGGCCAAGCTGAACCCCCATGTAGCGAAACCCTTCTATAGCGAAAAAATTTTTGGTTGTCTTGCAATTTTTTTGCATCATTCTGTCGGGGAAATAATGAGCACAATGTTGTTGCGCCGATCGCGTTACTGAAGTGAACTTGATTTTGTCGCGACACAATTCACTGTCTTGGCTGCGATACGACTTTTGCTTTGACTGGGGGATGTTTCACGTGCACACATTTTCATATAAAGGTTTTAATAAAAGACGAGCTTTAAGATACCAAGAAAAAAATTTGCATATAATTTGCATAATTTAGAAGAAAAATTTACAAATTTATATCCATGTATTCTGTGTACCACCAGCATTCATGATTTTTTGGAAATGGCGCAAATTGGTCCACTGTATCAAAAGTTATGGCCCAAAATGTGCGGCCAAAGTCGATAAAAAGTCAGGTCACTCGAGTTACCACTCCTCTTTTTCTCTGCTCTCTCCGCTTTTTCTGTGATGCCGCTAACTCGAGTTAGTGCCCTTTTTGTAAGTGAAACATCCCCCTGGAGTTCATAATTTTCCCTACAGACTTATAGTATATGTAGATATGTAGTACACAGATTTAATGTAAACACTCACCAAAAAAATTCAAGATCTGATCTGGCGTCATTCTTCCCGATTTGTCGGCAGGAACCGCGGCCAAAAATTTGTCATCCGATTCGGCCATGCTAAAATTTAGAAGGTATTTATTTTATCTCAAAGTTACAGTTTCCGTATTTTACATTCATAAAAAAATCAAAAGAGGTTTGGAAAACACTAAAAATCTTTTTTTTACCCAACTTTGAAACGTTCGGTCTCTAGAATGAGTTATAACGCTAAGCAAAAGCGAGCCAAAGGTCGGCGAGATGGTAATCATAGTTCCTCACACTTGAAGAACTGTCGCAAAATCTTTTTGCCTCTGACGTTTCAAATGAGGAAAGAACCAGGGAGCGGTTTTTGCGATGTTTTAGGAAGGTTGAAAGTTCTGCGTACACTCTTCAATGTTTTATTATCACTCTGTCGGGAAAGTACATTGTAACGTGGATTGTTTAGAGTCTTGGAATCGCTCATTATTGGTTTGCGACGGCTAGCCGAGGCTGGAGATTTGGCGCTGCGTAGAAGCGAAATATTTCGTTGGGACAAATCCACGTTATTTTTCCGACAGACTGATAGTGTTAGTTCATCAAGGTTTTATCGATGTGATGACATTACAGTGGCAAAAAAATGTAGCAAAATACCTCCCTTTCCAATTGAAAAAACTTCGATTTTAAAAGCTTTTTGTGGAGGAAAGGGCGCGCTCTTCAAAGCGGTGTTTTTTCACTTGGTGAGGGAAGCATTTTGCCACATTTTTTGATACTTCCCGGATGCAAAATGATATGTATTTTGCCACTGGATCAGGTCCCTCACTGTGTTATTACAAAACTTGTCTGGAAAATAATGTGCATTCGTTGCTTTGGTATCGCCCATCATTGTTTTGCAACGGCTAGCCGTGAGTGGCAAAAACGTACGTGCGTAAAAAAACGTATGTATTATTTTGCATCCGGGAAGTTTCAAAAATGTGGCAAAATACCTCCCTCTCCTACTTGAAAAAACTTCGATTTTAAAAGCTTTTTGTGGGGGAAAGGGCGCGCCTTTCAAAACGGAGTTTTTTCACTTGGAGAGGGAGGTATTTTGCCACATTTTTTGATACTTCCTGTATGCAAAATGGTACGTTTCTTCGCACTGGAAGGTGCCAACAAAAAATGAGAAATGCACGTATACTACAAATTCTTCCAAGAGTACACTTTGCCTCACATTTTTACAAGTTAAAGTTGTTGTTGTACATATTCTTTATTATCAACAAAACAACTTTAATATTGCATTATTTATAGAGATTCGGCGGTTCGGATGAAAATGATATGAACAAAAGAATTCAACACAAAACAATGGGTATGCCGTATTTTACATCATGCATCGTTCACAGAATGAATGGATTCCCCGGCTTCGTCTGGCAATTCCCTTCCCGCTGTCTCGGGGAGAATGAAGGTCGCAAATCCGCCGACAGTAGCCATTGCAATGAACATTATGTTGGGGAGTTGAGGATGAACTACGCCCTGAAAAAAGAAGATTTTTTGAGACTTTTTTTGGTTTTAATCGGGGCGTCAAGTTATAGGCAAATCTCAATTTTTTGGTCCCACCACGAAAACCTCACATTTCGTAAGATGGTTTTTTTTGACGGGAATGAATTTTCTGGGCCTCAGAAGGATCGACTAAACTATTTTTTATAAGAATTATGATGATTTTCGAAATTTTTGGTCCCACCACGAAAACTTGACGTTTCGTAATTTTAGCGGAAATGAATTTTCTGGACCCCAGAAGGGTCGACTATGACACTTTTTAAATGAATTATGGTGATTTTTTAAAAGTTTTGGTCCCACCACGAAAACCTGGCATTTTGAAATTTTGACGGAAATTTAGTCTTCTGAGACTTTCTGGGCCTCGGAAGAGTCGGATATGCTATTTTTAACTTTATATGAATGAATTCTGACGATTTTCTAAATTTTTGGTCCCACCACGAAAACATGAAACCCTTCCGAATCCCATAGAAATTTAATCTTCGCGTATTTTATGGCTGTTGTGAGACGTATCGACTTCAAAAACCTACCAATATCCTGACCGACGGCGCCAGAGCCCCTCCAGCCCGTCCCAACGTTGAGCAGAACCCAATACAACCAGATCTTACTGTAGTCGGGAAGACCTCGCTGGCGTAAACGAACAACGCCGTTAGTGCACATGCAATTCCAAATTTCCCAATCAGCCAGAGAATCAAGAAAATGGTGGGATTGGTGATGAACATGACTCCAAGAAAAGCGACGGCAGTAATAAAATGTGAGAGGCTGACAAACCATTGACGGCCAAGAACCCTGAGGCAATAGGGAGAAACGAGATAAGAGGGGGCTTCGACTAAGCCGGAGAGGACAAAATTGAGGTATCTGAAAAAATTGAGTAAGGTATATTTGGTATTACCCGGGAAATTTCTCCGGAGCAATTTTACTCCGGAGCAATTTTTTTGAAATTTTGCAAAGAGCTTTCTTATAATCTGAAAAATTCAGAGAAAATTTCTCCGAAGCATTCTTACAGAGCGAAGAATTTCTATGGAGCATTTTTTTCTCCGGAGCATTTTGTTCTCCGGAGCAATTTTTACTCCGGAGCAATTTTTTAAATCTTTTAATGTCTTGGAATCTTCGCAAAACCGGAAAATTTCTGAAAAGACTTTTCCGGAGCAATTTTACGGAGCAAAAATTTCTCCGGAGCATTTTTTGCTCCGTCATGAAACTTCAAGAAAGTTGCAAAAATAAGATAAAAAAATTAGATGAAATAAATTTATCAATAGTAAACTTGCTCCGGTGCAGGAAAAATGCTCCAAAGTACATCCAAAAGCCTCAAAACGTCCTAAAAATCCCATTTTCAACCCACCGATTCCCTGCCAGTTCAGTGCTAAACAACGATAAGCCGTAGTAAATAAACGCGTCACAGGTCCATAAATATCCCAAAACCAATGTGTAGACGATCAAAATCTTTTGTCGGCCGAGTTCGTAGAAGAGTCCGTGATTGTGAGTGGGTTGAGGGGTGTCATTCAAGTCTTCGGAGGGACTTTCATCGAACAAATGGTCCAATTCGGAGAGTTCTAACTTGATTTCAGCAGCTTTGTTGGCACGGTCAACGAAACTTATTGCCTGAATTAGAAATGTTTTTTGTTGTTTGGTAGTGATTTTTCGGAGAAATCTTTGGTCCATAGCAATTTTTACAAAATATTTTCGCATGTTTTGATACCAAAAAGTTGAGTTCTACCAACTTTGTGTGATTCAGAAAAAGAAAAAAAATACTCCGGAGCGCTTTTTTCTCCGGAAAGTTGCTCCGCTCCAGAGAAATTTCCTTCCCAAAAATCTGGAGCCTTTCTCAATTTGGAGGAAAACTTTTGCTCCGGAGAAAATCACTCTCCGGAGTTTTGAGAATGAAGACATTCTTAAAATTTGAGAAGATAATTTCTCCGGAGCGGAGCAATTTTTTGGAGAAAAAATGCTCCGGAATAGTTCGTCTTTGGGCTGAATTTTAATCAGTAAAAATCGCAAACTTATTACAAAAAAAAACGTTTCTTACCTGCTCCTTTCTTCCATTGGCCACACTGAAATGAAAGCTTTCGGGTGCCCAAAACTGCAACAAAAACGCGTAAAATACCGAAGGCAGTGAGAGTGCCACCATAAACGGCTTCCAGTTGTGTAGCATAAAGTCCATCGGCGCCAAAATACAATAGCCCACTACCCACATCAGCCCAAAAACTAGGGCCGTATAAGGTCGTAGGAGATGCGGGGAGCATTCGTAGGACAGAACCCAGTTGATAATCACGCAACCGGCAAAGAAGAAGCCTTGAATTAGACGACATACGATGAAGAAATAGATATTAGGAGAGAGGGCGCTGAGGGATCCGCTGAGGCCGAGAATGAGAAGGGAAACGGCCAGGGTTGGGCGACGGCCATGACTGAAAAATTTGGAGTTTTAAAAGCGATTATTGACTGTCGGGAAAATAATGAGCACAATGTCGCTGCGCCGATCGCGTCGCTGCAGTAAAAAGCAATTTGATTTTATCGCGACATAATTGATTTTCTCGTCGGCGATACGATTTTTGATGCGACAGAGTTCTCATTATTTTCCTGAAAGACTGATATCATGTCGTATTTCAAAAAACATACGGAAACAAATTTAAAACCAAGGAGACAAAGATTATGATAAAAATTGCAAACATTCGCCTTACGTGTCCGAGAGCCGAGTAATCAAACTAGATCCAATGGCATTGCCAATCAGAAAGGCGGTGGTAGTCAAATCGGCAAGATACGCGCGTGGTCCGTTGAGATCGAACTGAAAGTTAACTTTTTCTGACGAAACATCAAAAGAAAAGTGGTCATTCATTTCATGGAGACAAATGAAAAAATTTCCCGGAGCAAAAATTCTACGGAGCAAAAATTCTCCAGTACAAATTGTGATGTAAAAAATCCCCCGGAGCTGATACTTCTCCGGATCAAAAAATTCTCCGGAGCAAATTTCATTGTGATGTAAAAGATTTTCCGGAGCAGAAGCTTCTCCGGAGCAAAAATTTTTAAGGAGACAAAGCTACTCCGGAACAAAAATTTTATCCGGAGCCGAAACTTCTCCGGGCGTGAAGGCAAGAAACTCTTTGGAGAAAAAATTCTTTGGAGTAAATTTTGGTGCAATGTAAAAATCTCTCGGAGCTAAAACTTCTCCGGGGTAAGTAATATTTTCCGTTGAAAAAACCTTTATAAGAAAATTTTTTCTGAGAACTTTCCCGGAACAAAAATTCATCCTAATCAAAAATTCATCCTAATCAAAACTTCTCCGGAGCAAAAATGTCTCCGGAGCAAAAATTCTCCGCAGCAAAAATTTCTCCGGAGCAAAAATTTCTCCAGAGCAAAAATTCTCCGGGGCACAAATTTCCCCGAATCAAAACTTTTCCGGAGCAAAAATTTCTCCAAAAGAAACTACTCTTACAACTCACATCGAAAGCCACAGTTCCCGGGGTACCAGTGCAATTTTCCGCCTCGACTTGGCAAACCTTTCCCATGAAAAAAGCGCTCGCCATCATTGGCATTGCTGCCAAACCCCATATAACAGACATGAAGCCGAAAACCACGATCAAAAATGGATTCCTATGGCCGAAAAAGCTCAAGATTTGATCCGGAGACATTCTCCTTGACGCTGACACTGTAGATCGTGAAGAGTCCGCAGACAAAATTGGCGCGTTCGAGTCGACCATTTCTTCCATCGAAAAGGATGAAGGGCTGAAAAAACAGTTACTTGAAACATTAGTTTTTGTAAAATACGGACCAAATTCGGTTGTTTCGTTTGTGGTTTGACAGTAAGATGCTGCGAATTTACATACTGCAAAACGGCTAAAAATCGTCTTTGTCTATAACCTTGAATTTGTCATGGAAAAAACAAAATGACGGACTTGATCCAGTGACAAAAAATGTGTCATTTTGCATTAGGGGAGTATAAAAAAACGTGGCAAAATGCCTCCCTCTCCAACTAAAAAAGTCCGTCTTGAAGAACGCCCTTTCCCCCACAAAAATCGGAGTTTTCTCACTTGGAGAGAAACTTCAAAAAAGGTATACAATGGCTAGCAGAACATGAGGTAAAAGGCACAAAAAACAGTGGAAATAGCTTACCCTCGCAATTATCTTCCTTTTTTCTGCTCTTCCAAATGCGTGTTCGGCTTGAAGGTTACATAAAAAACCTTTTTAAAATAGCGATGTTCCACGTCGCGGTGCAATTTACAATGTTACTCAAGTTGTTTCTTTTACTGATTGTGAGAAAAATTACTTTAGCAATATGAAATGTGAGCCATGCAATTGTCAGTAGTGTTGTCAAATATGAAGATTGACCTTTTACTCATATAGATCGGAGTCAGGGATTGCCACGGTCAAAACTTCGGCTCCGGCTCTTAGCTCCCAGAGCCGGAGCCGAGGCCAAATTTGCAGCTCCGGCTCCTGGCTCCCATGAAAAATTTAAAAAGGTCTCCGGCTCCGAATACCGGCTTCCGTAAAAAAAATTTAAAAATATCTTTCTAAAAATAAAAGTTATTAGTGCCAGAGATCATACGCCCAACGGTTTTGCAGCCAAGCCCTATGCAACACATCCTTCTCAGCATTTTTCAAGCAACTTGATTTAACAAGATCATAAAATTTTTAGTTTTATGAACACTGAGATGCCTGGCTCTACTTTGGGCTCGGGAGCCGGAGCCGACCCCAAAATTAAAGGCCCGGCTCTGGCTCCCGGCTCGGAGCCGGAGCCGTGGCAATCTCTGATCAGAGTCATCGGGGATGTTGAGATGCCAAGCTGGCTGTAGAATGCTCGAATAAGAAACTTTATAAAAATACAACGGGCTGACCCGGTATTTTACCATAAATCCATAAATTAATCTATAAACAAAGGCTCTTCTTCTCGTCCCCGAATCTCAACAACCCATAGAATTTTTTTTTTCTGGACTGTACAAGGCCTGACAATAGGCAAAAACTTTGCGAGGCGTGAATAATGCTTTTCACTGTACTGTTCAGAAGAAGTTCTATTCTGGACTCAGCACGTTGCAAGACAAAAAATTCGTGGGCAAATGGGCAAAACTAGTGCTCGAGCATCATGGGCGAAAAATTTTCAATTTTCTCGGACCCCTCTTATTTGGGGAAATAAAGAAATTTTTTGCTTTTTTACTAGCTAAAACCCAACCTTTTACACTCCTCTTTGATTTTTTTGTTTTTGAAATCACCTCGAAAAAATATCCAATATTTTTTTGCTTATTAGACCCTTTACAACGACCCCCATCAACTCAGCCGACAAAAACCAAGGCTATTTTTTTCAAATAAATCCACGCGAACTCCACTTGTTTGTTTCATTACTTGTGTAATACCATTAAAAAAGATTTTTCGGCCGCCCAAAAAAAAGTGCAAACGATCTTTGTTTCCCGGCTATAAGAATCTGTCAAAAAATTGATCTGAAAAACAGAGATGGAAGAGCCAGATAGCAGTCTGTCGGGAAAATAATGAGCACATTGTCGCTGCGTTGATCGTGTCGCTGAGGTAAAAAAAAAGTGATTTTGCCTTTCTTTTTTTTCATTTTCTCGTTGGCGATGCGATTTTCGATGCGACAGGGCGCTCATTATTTTCCCGACAGGCTGATATCCCAAAGATAAACAAGGAATTTGGGTAGTTTCTGCACAGAACGTTTATCCTCGCTTTTATAAAAAATAAAATATTTTTTGTGAACACAAATGAATTTGGGAAAAAAGTCTGTTCTTTGATATCAAACAAAAAAAGAAATAGTCGTCATTGGATGCATGTGTGGCCAGGAAATAAATAAAAAACAGCCAAAACCCGGGCTGCTTTTTTCAACTTGTGCAATTCAAACAATAAAAGTAGATGAACTCTATCAACTTCGACTGATTCCTTTGCCTGGCAAGCGTCTCACGAACAGGAACAGAGCAATTTGGTGGCATAGCGTCGATCTGCAATAGAAAATTTTAGGTCTTGAGTGCGTATTGTTTTTCACTTCAACGAAGCGATCGGCGCAACGACATAGAACTACAGGGTCTTACAAAAAACGTGAAGGAAAGTGGAAGGCGATAACTTCCGGCGAAGGCGGCGCAGAGACTTCGTATTTGAAATATGTATTTTTAAAAGACATAAGTTTTCATCTACGAAATAACAAGCTTTTAAAGTGCAAACTGAGGTCGCTACGACCTTCGATATGGGTGATGTTGGAAAAGAGGAGGAAAGTGCCAACACTTGCAATTTTTTCAACGTTTTCTTAAAGGCTATATCGAGAAACCCCAAAAAATCCGACATTTCCTTATGATTTTCAACCGAAAAAGTCCGAAATTTCTCGATCATTTTCAACCGAAAAACCCTGGTTTTCGGGGTAGAGATGTCTCTACTTCGGAAGGTGGTGGCGACCTCAGTTTACACTTTAAAAGCTTGTTATTTCGTAGACAAAAACTAATGTCTTTTAAAAATACATATTTCACGAACTCTCTGCGCCGCCTCCGCCGGGAGTTATAGCCTTCCACTTTCCTTCACTTTTTTTGCAAGACCCTGTATTTTCCCAACTGGCTGACGAGGAGAATAATTTTTTATTCTTAAACTTCAACTTACATCTTCTTTCTCATCTTCGAGTAAGTGGTCAATGAATTCATGTCTCAATTCTTCGTTGTCAAAAAACCACGAATGATTTCGAACAACCCCAAATATCCTCCGACATTCTTCTCGATCAGAAGAGTAGACAAACCCGAACACGAGAATTGTAACAAGAAACAGAATTGACTTCATTGCGGAATTGACTTCAAACATCCCATCCTTCGTTTATATAGAGCAATAAGGCGTGGGCGTTTGGCTATGTAAATGTAATCTTTTTCGTTAAAATCGTCGCTTTTAAATTCTTTATTGGCTTTAACGGCAATTGCTAGCAGTTTAATGGGTCAAATAAATGCAAATGTATTTGTATTCACATGGGAAAATTGAAAAATCATTCAATAAAGGATACAACTCGCAAAAAGAACGTATTCGTAAGGACCCAAGTTGACTAGTTATATAGGTGTATGAAATAAGAGTGTCCGGCGCAAACTCGGTCTTCTGGGGGATGTTTCACGTACAAAAGGGCACTAACTTGAGTTAGTGGCATCACGCAAAAAGAGGAGTGAGCAGAGAAAAAGAGGAGGGGTAACTTGAGTGATCCCTCTTCTTTTTGATTGGCGAATCGGGCGACTTTTTATGGACTTGGCCGGACATTTTAGGCCATAACTTTTGATACAGTGGACCAATTTACGCCCTTCCAAAAAAATATTAATGCTGGCGGTACACAGAATATACACATATAAATTTGTAAATTTTCCTTTTAAATTATGCAAATCATATGCAAATTTTTCTCTTGGTATTTAAGAAGCAAGATACGGAAAAATTTTTTGACACCATCATATGCAGCGTGGTCCCACCTTTAAAACTTTCTTAAAAATTTGCAAATTGGTTTACTGCGACAAAAGTTATGACCAAAAGATTCTCGCCCACTGTTGCGCGGGCCATTACTCCTGATACAGTATACCAATTTACACCCTTCAAAAAACCCTTTGATGCTGAGAGCGTAACAAACATGTCCATATAAAGATTTTAATAAAAGACGAGCTTTAAGATACCAAGACAAAAATTTGCATATAATTTGCATAATTTAGAAGAAAAATTTACAAATTTATATCCATCGATTCTGTGTACCACCAGCATTAATATTTTTTTGGAAGGGCGCAAATTGGTCCACTGTATCAAAAGTTATGGAGCAAAATGTGCGGTCAAAGTCGATAAAAAGTCAGGTCACTCGAGTTACCACTCCTCTTTTTCTCTGCTCTCTCCGCTTTTTCTGTGATGCCGCTAACTCGAGTTAGTGCCCTTTTTGTACGTGAAACATCCCCCTGGAATTGTTTTTATCAGTCGGTGTGGAAAACAGGCGGAGTAAAGTTGGTTGTACTCACAGCCTGTCGGCACAAACGGGTTCGTTGTACAGAGGTTATGCAAATATGACGTTTTATTAAAAAATATAAAAACAAAAGTAGTAAATTTCTTATCTTCCGATGATTCCTCAGGAGCGTCCGTCGTCTTCTCTATCGTTCTGAATTTTGATCGTAGTAATCTTGGTTGGCAATTGATGAGTAGATCACACCGTCAGAATGAGTATTCGTATGCAAAAAGCTGAAATGTAGACCCAATAAAGTCAGCCTGAAACTACGCACCCAAAATTAAGCACAAAGAGTGAACAAACTGACAGATAACCCAGATGAAACAATGTTACAATTACGAAATATAAAGATGTACAACTATTATTAGTTATCAGTGTAAAACATGCACCTCTCTTGTAAACTTACGAAGAGTATGTTTGTTGGTATTATAACCATTTACGAGGTATTATAACCATTCACGACGAGCTCAGCGAACGGAATCTTCTCCACGTTCTGGGCTGGGCTTTCCGGTATTGTAATAAATAGATATATGTATGTGTTTTCTGATAAGCAAGATTACGAAAAGACTAGAAATTAATATATAAGAATGGGAGTCTACGTAGCTCTTCTGATAGTTTTCTCTGATGTTGTCTTTTAGGACTTGGCTTAATATATGTACAAGATTATATATTACAACACATGTTGCGACCGGTTTGGGCAACCTCAGCCTAGAGAGGCATCGATGACGTGACTTACGGTGGGACTCGAGAAGTTGCGGCCTCCCGGACCGGAAGTTTTCATTGCCCTCAACGAAATGAGCTTGGGTGATCCTGGAGCAAAATTGAAACTTAAAATAAATACTTGGATTTTTAAGACTGAAAAGATGAGGCTGAGGGGCTGTGGGTGTTGAATAGTGAAGTGGGTGCAAATGTGTGAGTGAGATAGTGACTGTAGTGCCGTGATTAGTCATCCCCTTTTTCGTCATACTCTTCGTAATCGTCTTGGTCCTCTTTGTATTCATCTTCGTATAGGTGTTCTGGATAATCTTCCGCGTCGTCGTCCTCGTCGTACTCATAGCGGTTCGTGGCCGTTCCGGTTGATTGACGGGCCTACGCCATCCAAACCTTTCATGCAAAAACCAGCGCTGACTTGGGGCCTGAGCGGGCGATCTTGATGATTTGAGATATGATTCGGTTCTCTGCACCTGTCGGATATTACGCCCATTTTGGAAGTTTGATCGATTCTCTCGCTGCGGGCTGAACTTACGCTGGGGGTAACGCTGATTTTGATTAGAACTCGGGTTGGGGCTATTTGGGAAATCCCTAGGAGGATTGTTGAGGGTCGGTCGCGGTCGCTGGGTCGGGTTTTACGAAAATTGTTGTAACGCGGATTGAAATTACGCGCCTCTAACAAAGTTGTCGGAACTTTGTAACGCATTTACGCCGTATGCTTCATAGCGCCTTACTTCATCTTCCGCGATCACTATCAACTCCCCGAATAACGTATCTTTAGTAATGCGTAGCCTAATCGCGTCGCGAACCTGCCACGGTAAGGCGGCTACCAACTGTGCACGGACCTGCGACTCTTGAACTGCGTTGGACAGTTCACCGTGATCCTCGTTCGGGAACGCATACATCGCGAGGTCTCGTAATTCTTCCGCTAGACCGGGGACTGACTCGCCCTTTGTCCAACGCTTCTTGCTCCTTTTCTTGCTTTCCAGCCGTTTGGATTACGCGTGCAGTCGCATTAAAAATTTCCTCTGCCCTGATCAGCTCCCTGTCACTACCATAGCCTCATCGGCAAGGTAGTGGGGAACAATTTCGGCCGCTTTCTTACGGCCTGCTCAAAACCGTGCCAAAGCGATAGGAGGGTGCGTTGGGCTCTTTCGTTGGAGCCGTCCAACAAAAAAACGTACGTTTTTTTGGCTGACCTGGACGATGTCTGATCACAACAAAATTAACAGTACTAGGCACAGATGAAGGTGAAGAAATGATCTGCCCAAGTTTAGCTTGCTCGGAAAGGTGGGCGTGCTTTGCATAGGTGACCCGTTTTGGTTTGGCGCTACGCCTTACGTAACTTTGACGCGCTGAGCTTTATCTCGTGACCTACAGCTTCAACTTAATGGGCCTATTGCGTCCTTCCCGCTTTATTTCCTCGGAGGAAAATCTGTGCGCCAATCTGTTGTAACCCCCAGGGAAATTTGTTTCGGCTTTGTCCCGATGTTGCCATAGCTCGAAGCAATCAAATAAAATGCAAACTTTACGAAAAAAATATGTACAGAAAGGTAGTACTTGTTGATCAGACAATTCTAAGTACATCCTTTTTTCAAAAACGGTGGATGTAATATGCTCCTAGGGAAGTCAAATAGCTAGTTTTGTAGCAGGCTGGCCTCAATCGAATGTAAATGTCAATGATGAATTTCTTTTGTATTTTTTTGAGATCATAATTATTTTGCTTACGCCGCGTTCATGGAAGCTTTCAATAAAGAAAAATAGAATTACCGTATCCCCTAATAAATTCCGATCGCTAATGAGAGAAGTTTGAGGAATCAGTGAGCAACGATTTCTCGGAAAAAAGAAGTAATATATCAGAAAATATATATATATATTATATAAATATTTAACACTTTTTTCACGGTAATATAATGTATTATATGTTAGTATGATGTTCAGAATAAATTTTAAAAAATATATGACTAGTAGGAGAGCTCGTTGTACAGAGGTAATAAATAAAACTTACTGAAACATAAACGATGATCTCAGACTGAAATTACGTAACAAAGATTAAGTACAAAGAGTGAACAAACTGACGAGTAACCCAGACAAAACAATGTTACAATTACGACAAATATTTATGTACAATTATTATTATTAATCAACTTTAAAAAATTGCACAACCTCTAGTGAAAAATTACGTCTTGCTGCGGTGAAGGTTGAAGTGCTGGTATCTTTTCGGTAAGAAAAGCAAAATTTCAGAAACAAACTACTACCCGAATTCAGATAACAAAGTATGAAGACGAATGCAGCCCATTTCAATTACGATGTCATTCGTAGTTCCTGTCAATCGTGAAAGGTACCAAAAATAAGTATAGCTATCCAAATAATCGATGTGAAACCCCGGGGAAGTAAAATTAAAATTACGGATTCAAATTGCTCTCGGTTGAATTCCATTTATGGAACGTGAGAAATTCAAAAAAATGACAAGTAAACTAAAGAAGAAAATTAATTTGAAAATAATATAAAAAGCAGTTATAACATGGGGGAGAATGTTGTGGGTAGCTCCCAATTCTCCCATTTATTATTTAATTGCAATAGCAGAAAATCTGCAGAACATCAAGTGCAGAAAAACTCCTACTTTGCGTAGTTGACAAAGATTTCCGCGGGTAATTTTTGGGACTGCAGAAAAATTTTTGAGCAGAGTCTCTCTAAAGGAATGTCTGTCATACCATCCCCAGGTTTGCATTGAATGCAAGTTCCGTCGTTTTTTTCAATATTTACACCAAGCGGGAATCGAACCCGCGACCTTTTGAACGTTACATTCGCAAAATTTCCAATATACTACGAGATCTCCCTCCTGGAGTTACGGCCTGACATTATGTGTATAATATGCAGAATTTTATGCCGACTGCGAGTCTGAAGTAAAATTCTGTGGGGTTTTTGATAAAAAAGAGATACGGTCGATTTTTATTGACCGGATTGCAATATTCTTATGTTGTGTTACAGTAATTGAGGAAATTTAGTTTTCAGAAAATTGGATTCTGTATCGAAAACGTGTGGATCATTTGCCTTTTTCGACCTGGCTTATGGCCAGGTCGGAAATCCCCAAAAGAAAAATTTATGCAAATTTATACTTTCCGAACGGAATTCAGAAAAAAATATTGTTCGCTTTTGTTTAGCACCTGTCGACGGTCATTTTCATGCAAAGAAAGCCAAAATCAATTTTTTCCTATGTCCGCAGTGGGCCAAAAATTTTCTTTTGAACCCATGGTAGCTGGCAGTTAACGATGGTGCTGTGAAAATTCTTCTCTTTATTAGTTGAATTGTATTACTACGTGTTACACATTGCTATGCCATCAGCTATTCATTCAGCCATTCATTATTTTTTTTTAGCCTTCTCATAATTTCATATAAATTTTCAATGTTAAAAATAGTGCCAAGATGTCTCAGGAAATTTTACAGATATCTGATTTCAATGTGTCTTTCCGATGTTGGCCAGAGTTGGACGATTGGATAAAAGTAGGATTGGGGAAAATAAAAAGTATTATTTTTCTTCGATGCAGGTGTGAAATTAGGATAATCGAGGGCGCTGATTTCGAAAATGACATTCATTTTTTTGATGGTTACTTTTTTCCTTAAGTAGTACTGTAAAGTAGTAATTTTTTTGAATTTTTTCGTAACACTCGATTTAGGGGTTTTCGATGGTGCTGATTTCGAGAATCTTATTCATTTTTTCTGACTTGAAATCAGCACCATCGAAACCCTCCCAAACATTAATGAAAAAAAAACTCAAAAAGATACATAACTACTTTCTTTACAGTACTACGGAAAAAAAGTAACTATCAAAAAAAACAAATGTCATTTTCGAAATAAGCACCCTCGATTGCAAGTGTCTAATTTCGACACTTGCATCGAAGAAAAATAATACTTTTTGGGTTGCCCAATCGTCCCAGTTCCATGTTGACCAAACATTATATTTATTTAAAATTACGATCAGACAGACCGTTCACAGGTTGCAGTAGTGGCTTTTGGATACGTGATTTCATTCACAGGTCCTCGTGGATACGTGATTTCATCACTGCAGGCCCAACAATAGCGGGCTAATCCTATAAACTGCGACGTATTCCATTGTTTATAAAGCCCATAATGAATATTGGAAATGCAGTGTACGCTGAAACTGGCAATCTGAAAAAGAAGATTTTAGGTACAGAGTTTACTTTTGATACTGTTTTTGTCGAAAAAACCCCACTTCTCAAAAACGTGTTTACAAAGACACTTTACTGGCACGTCAATAATTTTAAAAAAAAGTAAGACTTGCTATTTTGTCTTCAGACTTGATCAGTTCCTCGATGAATGCATGCCTCGCCGTCTCGTTCGGGAAGATGCGTCTATGGTGCTTAACATACTTGGCCACCCTATAGCATTCGTCTCTCTCACGGATGTTATCATGCCAGCAGTAGACAGACGCAATCACAATGACTGTAAGAACAAGCAGCTTCATTGGGGGAATCAACCGTAATAATATGCTCATTTCTTTATGTAGAGGCTTGGTTAGCTATGTAAATGCAATTGACATCATTAAAATCTTCGTTTTTTTCAAATTCTGATTAGATTTGAAGACAATTACGAACACATATTTGGATCAAATTACAATTTGATATATTCTTTTGACTATTAGAGCCTCTAAAATTCTTCTTAAACGACCAAAACAACTACAATTGAAGCTCGATTTTACGGCTTAGAAGACGAAATGTGATTTTTAGATTTTTATAGCGCTACGACTTTTCGGGTAGACGATAGTTTCTCGTTGAAGTCGTACAGTGAGGGACCTGATCCAGCGACAAAAAAAGTACCGCTTTGCATCCAGAAAGGAACCAAAATGTCGCAAAATAATACCTCCCTTCTCTAACAGGGGAAGTACCCCAAGTGCGACGCTTAGATTTTGATGAAACTTGGCACAAATTTAGACTGACTTTTTCAAAAATATTATACATGCGTGAATTCTGCCTCGCACTTTGCGTAAACAACCGAGATTTTCAGATCGAAAGTCGGCGAAAATTTAAGGCTTTTTGCCGAATTTCGGCACGAAAAGTTTCATGGCTATTTCTGCCATAGAGGGTAATGCTTCAAAAAAAAATCTATTTTTTCGCACGAAACTAGCAAAGTTCTGATCAAAAAGTGTTTTTCTCTCTGACCGCTCTCCACGTTTATTGTGCTCTCTCGGCGGCAAAAATCGTCCAATGTCTCGGCGGCACCCGCAAAGTGCGAGCTAAAACTTTCAGGAATTGACACAACCCTAACTGATCAAACAAGATGGGATAAAACCTCAGAGAAGGTTATGGTGCCGTGATTCAGGCGCTCCGCTTCGGGATCTCTGCAGCGAACATTCTCGAACATCGGGGAAAAAAAGCTGGGGAAACAGTTGACACGGGGGACATCTCTCTCTCTCCATAAATTCCATCGAGTTGACGCTAGGGTTCGGACGGGGTATATACCCAAATACGCGGGAGGCCGGGAATTTTCGGGTATTTATGGTATGTTCAAAGTACTTTTACATTCAAAAAAAGTAAAAAAAGTCGAGTTTTGCCATAAGAAATCAATAAATGTTGACATTTTGTCATAATTTGTCTTTTTGTCTCTCAAAACTTGGTTCTAAGATTGAAATTTACTTGGCCGGAATAGGAAAATAAACGGAAAAAAATTCAAAATGATTTCAAAAATCATTTGTGTTAAAAGTTCCTTATTTTGGCCACAACTTTATAACTTTGCGGAAACTGGTCGGAATTAGCCCAAATTTAGCGTGCAGGCTCAATTCATCGTTGTCAATGCCCGGACAGTGGATTTAGTTAGTGAGGTACCTTTTTTCAGTACCACCTTGCCCTTCAAACACGGCTGCAGCCTGTGATTTTACATTTTATACGATGAAACATGTCCGGAACTAAACTTATTGACTCCGTATGGAACTAAATGAATCGTCACACCCTTCGTAGGTACCCTTAAAACTATAGAGCTATTATAGTAATTCATTGCCGGCTAGGTCGAAGCGTTTTTTCATAACTCCAGTGCCCAAGCTTGGGCGCAGTTCGCGGAGTACCTTTGTTGTGGCCAAAATAAGGAACTTTTTCCTAAACTGTTTCTTATTCGAATTTTGGAATCATTTTTCGTTTTTATTTGCAGAGGTTTCAGCGTATAAAATGTCGAAAGCATGGATAAGAGTAGTCCTCCATTCTGATGTAGTCTGATAAATAATGCGTGGTATCATGATAAGCAGCCGTTGATTGCGTCCGTCAAAAATTTTTTAATTAACCCTAAAAGGGATAGGCAGCGATCTAACAAGCCGACCGTTATCAACGCCTACTTAGCCCTTGCTTCCGAATCATCGCAATCATGATGATCAAATTTTGTTGGTGGCGGCCGAAACGTTTGTTGCCGAGACATTTCGAGTGCCCCTTTCGGAGGGTAAAGAAGGAGGCCAAGAATGTTCTGGGTGGACGATTGGAGTATTTGGACAATGCTTTTGTGGGTTCGTCGGCTTCCAATGCATGTAACAAGCACTCTGTAATTCTCTGACTAAAAAATAACTCAATTCTCGTACGTGGGCGGCGGTTATCTTAACTTCGCAATCATAAACTCTAGGAGTGGCACACCCCGCAAACGACCCAAAGTATAATTAAAAAAACTGCCCAACAAATATCATGAATTGCTTTATCAGTTCTCACACACGCTATAAAATACAGCTTTTTCTTGAAGGCTTTCATTATACCAATGAAGTCGATTTGGTTGTCGCTCCTGCTTGCCGCAGCCGTCAGCTCAATTGAAATCCCCGTCCAAAGGAGGCTCGTGGCCAGCACTCTCAGTTCGGGAATTCCGGTTGATGTTGATACCGCCTCCAAGGCATACGTTGGAGTTATTTCGTTGGGGAGTCCAGGTCAAGATTTCAACGTGGCCTTTGACGTGAATACGCCGGCTTTGTGGGTGCCCGACTCTGCGTGCTCTTGCGGCGACAGATGCAAAAATGGTAAGGGTTGAACACTGTGTGCGGACTAACAGGGGAAGTACTCCAAGTGCGACGCTCAGATTTTCTTTAAAATTTGCACACACGTCGGGTATGGACTAAGTATCAATTCCTGAAAGTTTTAGCTCGCGCTTTCCGGGCGCCGCCGAGATATCGAACGATTTTTGCCGCCGAGACAGCACGCTAAGCGTGGAGAGCGGTCAGAGAGAAAAGCGCTTTTTGGTTATAACTTTGGCAGTTTCGTGCGGAAAAATTTGATTTTTTGTAGAAACATGACCCTTTACGGTAGAAATAAGCACGAAACTTTTCGTGCCGAAATTCCGCAAAAAGTGATAAATTTTGGCCGACTTTCGATCTAAAAATCTCGGTTTTTTCTGCAAAGCGCGAGCTAGGATTTTCGCATATATCTTAGAAAAAATTATTCTAAATGTGTGCCAAGTTTCATCAAAATCTGAGCGTCGCACTTGGAGTATTTCCCCTGTAAAGTATCACGTTTGAATGCCTTAATCCAGAGGACAAAGAAACCATTTTTTTTCTAGAGAAACTGTGCCCTCTGCTTTGTGCTTCCCATTGCTGTGCCAAGAACTTATTGGCCGACGAGGAGAGTGGCTCGTGCTCAAACAAACTCGTTTTCGACCCACAGAAGTCTCGATCATACGTTGGAGGTAAGGGTGTCGTAATGCCCCCTACTTGTTTCCCGTCTGTACATAAAATCTGTAATTTGACGCTTCAGGCAACGCGACCGTCGACCTCAAATTCCTGGGACGCACGGTGAAGGCGGCTACTGGCTACGACACCCTCAGGATTGGACCTCATTATCGGCCGGGGCTCACCGCCAACACCATTAAATTCGGACGTGTGTCGGAGTTCCACAAGGACTACAAACTTGTCAACTACGATGGAGTTTTTGGGCTGGGTTTCGGCGAAGTGAACGGACTCCCCTCTCCCATCAAACAACTGGCTTCTCATGGAGTCATCCCTTCGCCTCTCCTTACCGCCTACATTTACAACCAAACGCGTAGCACCACTGTTGACGGGGTTCTGACTATTGGCGAGGTTGACAAAAGACGCTGCAAAGCTGTTGAGGTCTTTGTCGAGACCGACCGTACCGCCGATGCATGGGTGTTCAGCTCTCCGGTCTTCAACGTCAGCAGGACTTCTGGGACAACCAACGGAAGTTGGCTGGGAGTTCTCGACTTCAACGCAAATTATATCCAAGTTCCTCCCGCTGCTTTCACACTCATTCGAAATTACATGAGAGGCACCGTTGGCGAGGACGGTCGTATCACCATTCCATGCATTAATATCCCTGTGTACTTCAACATTGGCGGCCAATCGTTGGCATTAAACACTGCGACGTTCACCGAACATGCCGGTGGGATGTGCAAACTCAACATTAGAGAAACACCTAGCTCAGACAAGTACGCCTTCCGTTTTGGTTTGCCACCCTTGCAAAGCCATTGCATCGTTCTTGATTACAACGGCAGGCTTGCGTTCACTCCTAAGAAAGTCTAATTTACCGAATAAACCGATACATGCATGCCGATAAGACCAGCCTGATTTATGCACGTGATATTTGCAACAAGAAGCGTAAAAAAATCATATAACCCTTGTTTCCCAAATTGATTACAGGGTGGGGCTTCTTTGTGGCCCGATTTGAATTGGCTATAACTTATTTCGTTTTTGGCCAAATCTCAAAATTCTTTTTTTCCATGGATCCTCAGACAACTAAGGTTCGGGCGGGGTATATACCCAGGTATATACCCAAAGACCCGAGAGGCCGGGAATTTTCGGGTATTTATGGGTATATTCAAACTACTTTTGCATTCAAAAAATGTCGAGTTTTGTCATAAAACTCAATAAATGTTGACATTTTGTCACAATTTGTTTTTTGCATCTCAAAACTATTAACGACTTCATATTGGTCCCATATTTGACTAATTTAGGCTAATTTTATAAATACCCGAATATACCCGAGATTTCGGGTATATACCCGCGTGGTGAATATACCCGAATGTTCCGGACCCTAGTTGACACATCGTGGATAACTCCAAGTTCGGTGGAATCTGACAACGTGTATGCAAAAGTTAAAGAAAATCTGAGCGTCGCACTTGAGGGTACTCCCCTTTCGAGTGTAAACTACGCGTATTTTACAACTTAAACTTTCAATTCTTTCCTCCAATCCTTTAGAAGACATAATAAAACTATTTATATTTATATTCAAAAACTGCAAAACAAAAAAAGTAAAAAATTGAAAAAATCACAAAATTGATCCCGTATTTTACAATGGAGGGGTGGCATCGCCTTCTTGTCGGCCGAAACGTTCCAGCGAGTCTTCGCGGAGCTCATAGGCCGGGAGGTACCTAAAAAATCAGAAAAAAACTCAAAAAATAAATTAACCAAAATTTACGTTTTTCTTCCCTAAATTACGTTTCTTCTCCCTAAATTACGTTTCTTCTCCCTAAATCACGTTTTTCCTCCCTAAATCACGTTTTTCCTCCCTAAATCACGTTTTTTCTCCCTAAATTACGTTTTTTTCCATAAATCACGTTTTTCCTCCCTAAATCACGTTTTTCCTCCCTAAATTACGTTTTTTCTCCCTAAATCACGTTTTTCCTCCCTAAATCACGTTTTTCCTCCCTAAACCACGTTTTTCCTCCCTAAATCACGTTTTTCCTCCCTAAATCACGTTTTTTCTCCCTAAATCACGTTTTTTCTCCCTAAATCACGTTTTTTTCCATAAATCACGTTTTTCTTCCCTAAATCACGTTTTTCCTCCCTAAATCACGTTTTTCCTCCCTAAATCACGTTTTTCCTCCCTAAATTACGTTTTTTCTCCCTAAATCACGTTTTTCCTCCCTAAATTACGTTTTTCTCCCCTAAATAACGTTTTTTCTCCATAAATCACGTTTTTCCTCCATAATTCACGTTTTTTCTCCCTAAATCACGTTTTCCCTCCCTAAATCACGTTTTTCCTCCATAATTCACGTTTTTTCTCCCTAAATCACGTTTTTCCTCCCTAAATCACGTTTTTTCTCCCCTAAATTACGTTCTTTCTCCATAATTCACGTTTTTTCCCACTAATCTTCAACTCACTTTCCATTATCGGTCATCAAGACCTTATTAGGCTTGGTTTTGGTCCGATCTCCCAGACTTGTGAATCCTTTATCGTACAACGAACAGTACGGAACACATAACGCGCGGAGTAATCGCCAAATATCGACGTAATGCCAGCTCAACAGTGGGCATGCCCTGAGGAAATGCGGCCATCCGGCGTCTGTGAACTCGCATTCCGTCTTCATATAACGCCCTGAACATATCGAATATCAATTTTCGTATCTTTACAAACCGCACTGTGCAAAATTTTAATCACCTCATTTCTGGTTGATTGCACTGTGCAAAAACTTTTGCAAAATTTTCGCACAGTGCAACAGCGATGCCAGGATACGCACTGTGCAAAAAAAAATCTCTGTCAATCTGCACTGTGCGAAAAAATTCCAAAAGTTTTGATTGCACAGTGCGAATTTTGAAGCCTCTTTTTTTGGTCGCACTGTGCAAAACAAGCGACAAAGTTTTTGACTGCACAGTGCAAAATGTCGCAAAACTTTCTCCACGCCACAGTGCAACCATTTTTTCTCACTGCACTGTGACTTTTATGATTTTTGTACCGCACCGTGCATACACAAAAAAAATCGTTTTTTCATCGCACTGTGCAAAACACGCGACAAAAAATTTTTTTTGCACAGTGCATACCCTAAAAATTTGTCGCAATGCACAGTGCAACTCAATTTTCTCTGCACAGTGCAAAATTTGGAAATCATTTTTTCGCACAGTGCAAAATATTTATAAAAACTAAAAAAAAAAAAAAAAAAAAAAATAAAATAAAAATCAAAAAATCGTAATTTCCGGATAAAAACCAGTCAATAAAGTCAATCAAAAGTCAAAAAATTACCGTTAGGATCAGTAAATCTGGAGCCCATAAAAACCGCAACCACTTTCGGTTTTCGTATTTTCAGCTGCTCCAATCCGCTTTTCATGGGCCCGTTCAGTTCGCTGGTGTCCAAATTGTATTTCCGGCCGGCATCGCGGATAAAATCCGCCATTTCGGAGAACTCGTCGCCACATAGAATGTGGAAAGCTTGGATTTTCGCGGCAGGGCCGTGCTTTCTAAAAACAAAAAAAAAATTTTTTTCTTCAAACTCGTATTTTTGGACCCAAAATGGCGATTTTTTGGCAAAAAATCTCAAAAATAGCAAAAAATCTCAAATTTTGAAAAAATTTCAAAAATTGACAAAATGACAAAACCCGTATTTTAACATCAGAATTAGCTCAAAAATCAACTTTTTCATTTGTATTTTCGCTATTTCTATCAAATTTCACAAAAAATCTCAAATTTTGAACAATTTTTGAAAATTAAAAAAAAGGTAAAAAATCGTATTTTAGGATTCTAATTAGCTCAAACATCAACTTTTTCACTTGAATTTTCATTATTTTTATCAAATTTCCCAAAAAATCTCAAATTTTAAAAAATTTCAAAAAATGAAAAAATCTCAAAACCCGTATTTTAGGACCAGAATTAGCTTAGAAATCAACTTCTTCACCTGGATTTTGACTATTTTTATCAAATTTCACAAAAAAATCTCAAATTTTAAAAAATTTCAAAAATTGAAAAAAAGCTCAAAAACCGTATTTTAGCATCCTAATTAGCTCAAAAAATCAACTTTTTCACCTGAATTTTCATTATTTTTTACCAAATTTCACAAAAAATCTCAAATTTTAAAAAATTTCAAAAAATGAAAAAATCTCAAAACCCGTATTTTAGGATCCTAAATAGCTCAAAAATCAACTTTTCCATCTGAATTTCCACTATTTCTATCAAATTTCACAAAAAATCCCAACTTTAAAAAAATTTCAAAAATTGAAAAAAGCTCAAAAACCGTATTTTAGGATCATAATTAGCTCAAAAAATCATCTTTTTCACCTAAATTTTCATTATTTTTTATCAAATTTCACAAAAAATCCCAAATTTTAAAAAATTTCAAAAAATGAAAAAATCTAAAAAACCGTATTTTAGGATCCTAATTAGCTCAAAAATCACTTTTTTCACCTGAATTTTCGTTATTTTTATCAAATTTCACAAAAAATCTCAAATTTTAAAACCCGTATTTTAGGTCCATTTTTTTGTAAAAATCTCCAATAACCCTAAAACCACTTACTTATCAATCCGACACCTCAACAAATGCAGTAAAGCGGTGCAATCTTTCCCGCCATTGAACGAAATTGCCATTTGTTCCAGATTGTACTCGTCCAAGATCTCATCGACGACCTGGATGGCCCGACGAAGCCGTTTCGAATATCCATCGTCATTCAGAGACTGCAAATACCGTTCCAATTTGCTATTGGAGTCCACCCAAGGCTCTTCGTCGTAGTTTACAATGTAATCTAAAAATTATTTATTTATTTTTTTTTGATAAAATTGGGTAAAACTGGGTAAAATTGCTTTTTTTTTGAATAAACGGTAAAAAAAAAAAAAAAAATTTGAAATTTTTTTTTATTTTACCCTACAAGTTAAAAAAAATACAAAAAAAATGTTTTTTTGAATAAACGGAAAAAAAAAAAAAAAAAAAATTTTTTTTTTTTCAAATTTTAATTTAATGTTCTACAAGGTCATGATAAATCTTTAGGGACCTTTATACAAGCCCTAGAATCCTAAAAAAGCTCAAAATTTTTCAAAAATTCAAAAAATTTCCATTTTTGGTCCAAATTCGCAAAAAATAATGAAAAAAATGTAAAATCCACTTTGAAAAATTTTGCAAATACAAAATCAAACTTCCAATTTCTTAGTTAACAAATTCTAATACTAATTTCCTACTTAAAACCCAAAAAAAATTCTTGAAAAATCCAAAAAAATAAAGATTTATTGCCTAAAAATCCCAAAAATCCTCAAAAATAATTCCAAACTCCCTCCTGACCTTTAAATTCGCTCTTCAATTTTTCCATAGCCTCCATTCCTTCAGCTGGATCCGCTGCTTCCACTACCAACTTTGTTTTGAAGTAGTTATTGTCCATGATCGGATAGCTGCCTATTGTAACATTGGGGCGATTTTTGAAGGTCTCCGCGATTTTGGTTAGATTCTCCTGGAGATAAACTTCATTCCTCTTTAAGTAGAGTGTTTCGTTGTAGAAATTTCGGGCCCGATCTCGGGGAAAAAGAGTGTTCTAAAAAAAATTTTAAAAAATTTTAAAAAATAAAAAAAATTTTTAAATAAATTTAAAAATCCCAAAAATTCAAAATAAAAATTCATTAAAAATTCAAAATACAAAAAAAAATTTTTTTAATTTTCCAAAAATCAAAAAAATCTCAAAAATTCCCAAAAAATTCTCTTCAAAAAATCAAAAATCTCCCCAAATTTTAAGCCTCTTTAAATTAAAAAGAAGTGTTTAACCGTATAAAAAATTATCAAATTCCTTCGATTTTTTGAGCAAACATTGCTCTCTTCCACTACTTTTGCTGG